TTTGTCAATCTTTTGTTTTCATCGACAACATTTTTAATAGTTCTTTCTGTTTTTTCGTCTGTTATCAAAAAAGTGTATTCCGCGGAGTGTATGTTGTTTAAATTATGCCCGTTGACATTCCCTTAGAATCATCTCATGATACAAGTTAGAACCCCCCCCCCAAAAAAAAGCAGCTTTGGTGGACTTTTTTTTTTCTTTTTTGGTATACTTATTTATTTCTGTGCTCATATACAATTCGTATGTTTCAATACAGGTTATGGAGTATTAGTGTCTCCTTTCCGTGTATATCAAGCATTTTTAACCATTTCGCAGGTGAATTTTTGAATCGAATTCTCAACCAGATCAGTTCTTTCCCTCTAAACTTTAAGCGTGGAACCTTTTTAAAATCATTTTTTGTCATTGATTTTGTATTTGGATTCTTTTAATCGACTTGTCTCCCGTAATTCTCATATAATTAGTTTATCTCTCTTGATTTGTCTCCCTTAAATTTTTTCTCCCTTAATTTCCATATAATTTTTTGTAATTTTTTTGTATTTTATTTTTTTAATTTTCTTTATATCGATTTATATCAAATAATTTTTTATACTGTTTTTTTTTTGTATTTTAATTTTTTTAAAAATCGATTTCTTTCCCTTAATTTTCAGCCAGATCAATTCTTTTCCTCTCTTCTCTCAAAATGTGGAGTAATTTTTTTTTCTTTTTATAAATTAAGAAGAAGTAATATAGGAATCCTGAAAATATTTTTTACTAAATTTTTATTGCTTAAAATTTCAGTACCTGGATTAAAACAAAATAACACGTACGTCAAATGATGAGAAAAACAAAGGTGACAAATCAAGTAAAAAAGGTAAGGTTATTTTATTATGCTAAATTTATCTTTTGGAAATTATCTTTTTTTGATGTCTTCAATTGATTTCTAAAGTAAAAATAAGATACGTTTATTCTGGATATTTGAACTCCTTCTTGGTTCAGCCCACAAACAAATGTTATTTTATAAGCGACTTAAATTCTGAAAAGTTTTTTAAAATATAAGAAGAAAATAAACTTGAAATAGCAACAAAAGTCGGGATAACAATTTAAGTTGCTAATTTCTCTTGTAGATGTTATAATTCGCGCTCAACCTTCCCGCTTTTGATGCATTTGTTAACTGGCTGGTTGGCTGGTCCATTTAAAAGAATCGTAAATTGTGATGCTGTGTCATTAATGGCATCTGTAAGATGATTGGCAGCAGCCGTCTCCTCTCTTATTAGGGTTCCATATTAGTCATTGATGGTATATTTAAGGCAAGTTAGAAGCGGCAGTGTTACTTATTAACGCGCATCTCTCCGAGAAATATTTCTTTAATTCCATGTGAAAATGTTACAGTTCATGGCAGGTTCATTTATAGCTACTCTCAGGTAGGAAAAAGGGAGTTGGCGATGTCTTTTCTTTCTCCAGTAATTTTTGCTAAGTCTAATGTTTCCAAAAGATTGTTGCGTTCTGTACTCACAAACATGCAATGTGTGGGGCAAAAGGAATTTATTCTATGCCTTTTCTGCATGACGCAAGCTGGTTGATTGTTTGGACCCTCGTTTCTTGATGGAAATACGATTTCCAAGGGTTGGTGTTTTAGTGATTTTATTAATACAAGCGGGAATTTGAAGCACTTCTTTCTTTCTTTCTTTCTTTCTTACATATACTTTCTTTTTTGGCGATAAGATCTCATTATACAGTTGAAATGGTTAGATGTAACAATAAGATATCTTCCTAAAAGTTGTAGTTCTCAGTTGTAGAACTCTCTTCGGTCTTCTTGTTTTCCAGTCAAATTTGATCTTCAAAAATTTCAATGCAATGTCAATCATTATCTTCTGTCTTTTAAATTCTGTTCTTTTATTGTTCTCGCTCTTTAATAATGTTTTTCTTATATTCTTTCACACTCACTAACTCTCTGCGTGTTAGTGGCTTGCTTGGGGGGGGGGAAAAGATTACCCCCCCCCCCTAAAAAAAACAAAAAAACTAACCGCTCTTCTGATATAACTTTTTCTTGTGTCTTTCCCTTCAAACAAAACGTAACGGTCTATTATTTATCTGAGATAATGGCAAGGCATGTAATAAGTAGGTAATCACCCCAAAACTTGATGTTATACTTTTATTTCTAGTAACATACACTTTCAACGTACCCCAGGGCGAGGCTAGCCGGAAGGTAAACAAAAGGATAAGGGATTTGCTCTGTCGAATGATGTCATACAAATCAGAATTATAACATTATTTATAACTCTACAAATGTTATTATTCAACTCCGAAGATCAGCTACAAAACTCTTGGAAATCATATTTTCGGGATATCTTTTTTATACATGTTTTTATTAATGACAACTTACGCTTTGCTTTTAGATGAATGAAAAACAAATTGTTTTTTTTTCACGTATTGTCGGATTTAAAAAGAGTTCTTGGTAGGCATTGAACAATGATTAAGTACGTTTTTCGGCGTTATGCTGTAATCTTTCGTTCCTTATCTACTTGCCATTTCGGTCTAAACCTAAGACAGCATAGGTGTAAACTTCATGGAATATATTTCAGGTTCCACGAATCTCTTTGGAATAAAGGAACACTAAGTATATCGTGTGCTGCCACACGATAACCTTATTTTGTTCCAAGCATGGCTGATTGTCTATCTATAGAGAAAAGAATTTGAACTGTGTGAAGGATTTTGCGAGATATAATCATAATTTCGGATTTCGGTTGTCTATTCTGATAAGTTCCAAGCTCAAAAGAAAAAGTTCACATCACTTTCAATCCAAAGCAAAAATAAACAAAAACCAACCTTTTTTTAGTTCTTTTTCCAAGTCTTTAATTTCCAGAAATTTTTAGAAGGGAATAAGAGAATGTTCAGGACCCACGTTTCCTTCTAACTTCCATTTTCATCGTCCTCTCTCGTTACGCCACCAAAATAATCCACCATAAGGATTGCCTTGGTTAAAGCAGATTCAAATCCGATTCATTTATTCAAAGTCAGCGATGTAATCTTTTCTGTCGGATTGGTGAATCTTCGTATTGTTGCGTTGTGTCGCGTGCTGTCTATGACTTCTTGTGTTCTGTCAGCAATGCTTCAGGTCCAACGCTGTATCACAGACTGAATGAATGGCGGACAAGTTGCTTTAGGTTTCTTTTCACTCGCTTTATTTCACGTGTGGGGATCTAGTGGTAGTAACTTCGTTTTTTTTTTCTTGGAGAAAGTGATATGATGGTGGAGATAAAGAGGACAGACATTCAACAGGTCGTCTATCAGCACGTGTCGCAATCTGATGGAGACAAGCAAACGAACGATCTCTGGGAGCGGGGATGCTCTTTAAATTCTACTATTGCTGTCACAGTACTTACTGCCTTTGTGCGTTTTTCGATTTTAAAATTAATCAAAGATAATCCATTACTATCACGGTTTAACTACCACAGAGTTTAAACCAACCGCAGTCAATTCAGGCCATCAGGATTATGACCAGTACGACAAGGACACATGGCATGACCCAGTGGATAAAAGCGCTTGTTGATTTATCCAAAAATGCCTTGACCAAAAGAGTTGTGAATTCAATACCTGGAGAGGGGACAAAAACTCGGGTAGCTGAGTTATCAAATGGAATTGACTAAAACTGATATATCCAAAGGCATGGGATTAGAATAATCTACCACCGTGTGCTAAATAAAGATTTCGGTTCGAAAATCCAAGAAATATCACCTGAAGAAGGCCAGAGCGTACGATGGCCGAAATGTCCTGAATATGACAATAAAGATGAGGACAACAGTCCGAAAAATGTAAATAGTGTAAATAGTTACAATACCTCATCTCAGAAATATAGACAGATCCTGAAGAAGGCCGGAACGTACAATGACCGAAATGTCGTGAATATGGCAATAAATATGAGGACAACAGTCTAAACAATGTAAACAGTGTAAATAGTTACAAGACCTCATCTCAGAAATATAGACAGATCCTGAAGAAGGCCGGAGCGTACAATGGCCGAAATGTCGTGAATATGGCAATAAATATGAGGACAACAGTCCAAACATTGTAAACAGTGTAAATAGTTTCAATACCTCACCTCAGAAATACAGATGGAAAGATGAGATATAAGTGAAATTAACTAAAACTGAAATAGGCATGGCACATGAAATTACAACAATCTGCCCCGTCACGAGGACTAAATAGAGGGTTCGAGTTGAAATTTGACAAATATTATTGAAACGTCGTGAATGTAGCAAGAAAGATATGGAAAAAATACGAACAATGTAAATAGTGTAAGTAGTTACAATACCTCATATCAGAAATATAAACAGATCCTGAAGAAGGCCGGAGCGTACAATGGCCGAAATGTCGTGAACATGGCAATAAAGATAAGGACAACAGTCCAAACAATGTAAACAGTGTAAATAGTTTCAATACCTCATCTTAGAAATATAGACAGATCCTGAAGAAGGCCGGAGCATACAATGTAAACAGAGTAAATAGTACGATCGGGGTTGCTATTTTTATCCCGCCTACGCTTTCAATAACAATCCCACGGCAGCTGATTCATATATTCGATTTTATCGGGGTGAATCATTTCATTCGATTACTTTCTGAATTTGAGCTTACTTCTGTCAAAATATGAAGCTTTCCTTTTTTTCTTTGCACAGTAAAACACGCTTCATATCTTAATTCTTGTGTTTCTTCTGATCTGGATTCAAATCATTCGTTTTAACCATTATTCACTTACGTCAAGCTACATACATTAAGCAAATTCCAGTTTTCTATTGCATTTATTTCTTCTTGGGCATCACAGCAGAACACCACGAATAAAAAATACTCACTATCTTGAAAATCGTTCTTTTTTCTTTTTTACAATTATTTTTATATTCTTTTGCAAATGTCTTCTGACATCTCTCAATATTGTCCGCACAGTCCACCTTTTAGATTTTATTTAAAGCTGAATTCATTTGGCACACGTTTCACATGCCCGGGGTAGCTTATTTCAATAATGTAGGCTTAGGGCCACATCACGTTGAAACACTGGTTCTCGTATGATCATCGAAGTTAAGCAACGTCGGGCCTGAACAGTACCTAGATGGGTGACCACTTGAGAATACCAGGTGCTGTAGGCTTGGGTGGTGTAATAGATAACGGCTCAGAATTAGAAATCGAAGTGCCGAGTTCCAATTCCAGTCGCGTTCGTTATAATCACTTACCCGCAAATACCCTTGGAAAAGGTAGGAATCCATCTCCTCTTCCCGCAGCTACAGGTTAATTAGGAGGATCTGTAAAGCATTATTAACTTTAAAAATTCTGAGGATATAGAAATATTTTATTGCTTTAAAATAAGCGGCAAAAGATTGATAAACCGTAAAAAAGAAAAAATGAAAAAAAAAAAAAAAACAAAAACAAAAAACAAACGAATCAATCCAATAATTCAATACCCTTTCCGTAAAAAAAAACATAGTAGGTTTATTGGGGCGTATGATTAATTATTATTGCTCCTTTACTTATTCGAGAAAGCTTTTATCCATAATTGTTAGCCTGATTAAAATTTTAAACCCTATATTAAAGGGCATACGAACGACAATATTATGTTGAAACACTGGTTCCAGTACATTCCCTGCAGTTAAGCAACGTTGAGCCTGGTTAGTATCTAGATGGATGAACACTTGGGAATATCAGGTGGGTAAGCTTGGATATGCGGGTGGTGTAATGGTTAATGGCTGAGTTCCAATACCATTTGGGTTCGTTATATTCACTTGCAAGCAAATAACCTTGGAAAAGTTATGAATTCGCGTCTTCTCTTAGCTATGCGTCAGTTAGTAAGACTTGCATGACTAAATCATTATCATCTACCAAAAGTTTTTACAATCTAAAGAATATTTTCTGGCTTTAAATAACCTGAAAAGGGTTTATAAGCTGTAAAAAAATGAATAAATCGATCAAATGTTTCATTAAAGTCATCACGCATTTAAAAATGGAAACACAGGGGAGGGGTGTTCATACTTGAGACGTCGAAAAAACGAACTGTACAATTTGTGGCACCATCTCCCCTGGATTCTCCAATCCTCCATGTTAATTTTATCGTGGGGGATAGTGTGTAAATAATACATATCTATGGATATAAGTTGGTTATGAAGTCATACTGTGGACAGCATAAAACTGTCTCTGGTGTGAAATATGCATCAATGCAATTACTGAACGCTCATAGGTGTACGCAGTTGCATAAAATGTTAATCAGGCTTTGTGTGTTGGATATTTAATTGTGTGCATGCGAGTATGATTTGAAGATTATCATATTGTCTTTTCTTTGTATTTTTAAAAATTTCCATGATACTGAGAGGCGGACGAATTAGCTACAAAATTATGAAAGCCAACCACCATAGAAAATCTATCACATCAACGTTCCTTCAAAATTCCTTATTCAATTATAGCATTTGATCTAAACAAGTGACAAATCAATTACTTTTTCTGGTATTTGAGAAATGGGGAAATTTGACAGTGTATATTTAAAGTTGAATAAAGCAAAGTAATTAATATATTTTCATAATACAATGATAAAAATATCCATTTTCTTAATAGTGGAAAATTCAGAGAACAATGTGTCCTCACCTTTGATTTTAAAAAAATCGACGTTATTCTTAGCTATATTTTATCACAGCATCCAAGGTTAATAATTTTCACCATTGCTTCTATTGCTAGTTCGACCAATTTGCAAATGACATAACGAAATTAGCTGCTGTCAGAGCTCGTTACTGATGACATTGGTTATTTGCGACTGGCAAATAACCACTGTTGTAATAAAAATGTAACGATGATTATGTGAAGTAAAATAATAGGGCAAATGAGTCTCAATAGTCGTGCTATGATCAGGGATTATATGCATATTCTCTTGAAAATATATTTCAATTGAGCACTGTTGAATGACAAGCTAATACTATAAACAACAGCCACCTGCGCTAATGCAAAGCTCTTCAATAAAATGAATCGAGCCCTATGGCTGATTGGAATTTGTTTTCATTTGTAAAAACAATACGCTAGATTTAGCTGTTTCTGTCTGTCGAATGAAGATAGTCCAGTGGTAGAAACACTGACTGACACCAAATCGGTTGGGTTTCAATCCTAGCTTGAGGCATTCAGATGTCTAGTCGCACTGAGAAACTGTGATACAGCGAAACAGTACTGTCTGCGAATAACACACACACACACACACACACATATATATATATATATATATATATATATATGTGTGTGTGTGTGTGCATGTTCTGGAGTAAATAGTATACACACTCTGTAGCAATATGAGTAAATTTAAGATAACTCGATACGGAACACTTACTTTCGTCCGTTAAAGGGAGTCGACTTCAAAGTTTAGGAGTAGCAGACTAAGAGGGCGTGACAGAAGAAATATGAATTGTTTTTTTGGGGACGAAGATGACAGGACAAAGAGCTTGTTGTCTACAAAGCCGACTATACCGCGCAAAGGCAGAGCAGAAGGACTGACGCGGACCTCACAGAAACATCGACAACCGCTGACTGCGCACCCCGTACCACTCACTTTCGCCTCAACTCGCCTTTGCTCTCTTAAAGTCTAAAAATAAAATCTGTCTTACTGCTAGACAATTGCTGTGCACGTCACTCGTGGGTTAAATATCTGGTCAAAGGGTAATTTTCATGCCACCAGCGTTTGACTGAAAGATACTGAACCCTCTCAACGAACTTGGTGTCTGCTCTGAGCTGCAATGCAACACCCCGGCGACTATATGAACTAGTCCATAACTATAAGGAAAGAGCCCGAGGTCACAGGTAAGTAAAAAAAAAGAAGCCTTTTGGAGTCAGTCTTCAGACTAAGTAATACAGGCGCCACAAGTTGTCGAAGTATTACTTATAGTATAAGCGCTACGAAGTGCGTTATAATAGTGACAGTGGGGGATTCGAAACCCAGTTGTGATGAGGATTCAGAAACTCTTACGACTTATAACATTAACGAGGATTCAGGAACTCATACGAGTTGTAACTGGAGTTACAAGGATTTTGCAAACTCATACTGAATGAACAAGTACGGGAAAACTATACTTGTTGCTTGTTATTTTTTCTTCTTATGTTGAAGAAAAAAATTTCTTTTGGGTGTAGGCAAAAAAACATATTCTTGTAAATATGGAGCAAATTTTGGCTTCGAAAGTTAAAATTCAACAACAACAAGAGCAGCAGCAGCAACAACAAAATCAACAATTGCTAGAACTACAAAAACAGCAACAGGAGTTGTTAGATATAACTCTGAAGAAAACAAAAAGATTTTCAACGTCTCTTACGCCAGACGCTATCCAAAACACAATATCGGAATTTGAATACAATTCTGATGAGAGACTGACTTATCCTGAGTATTTTTGTAGATATAAACAAATATTCAGTCAGGAATGCATCTGATGGAAAGATGAGAGAAAAACGAAATTGTTGTTGAGGAAAATAACTCCGATATAGCATGAAAAATACTGCAACTATATATTAGCATAAAAGAAAAAACAGGTGAAATTGTGTTTGAAGACACGGTACACACTCTGACGAAGATTATAATAGTGGCAGTGTGGGATTCGAAACCCAGTAGATTTATAACCGGTGTGACGAGGATTAGGAAACTCTTAGAACTTATAACAATAACGAGTATTCAGAAACTCATACGAGTTGTAACGGGAGTTACAAGGATTCTGAAAACTCATACTGAGTGTACGAAAAAAAAAAATTCTTGTGAATATGGAGCAAATTTTGGCTTCGATAGTTAAAATTCAACAACAACAGGAGCAGTAGCAGCAACAACAAAATCAACAGTTGATGGAGCTAGAAAAAAAAAGAACAAAAGGAGTTGATGGATATAACTCTGAAAAAAAAAATTTCAACGTCTTTTATGTCAGATGCTGTCCAAAACGCCATGTCAGAATTTGTATACAATCCTGATGAGGGACTGACTTTTTCTTGGGAGTTGGGAAGACAAGAGAAAACAAGAGTTACCAGTTTCATGAGAAAAACGAGACTAACCAGTTTTTTTTTAGAAATAAAAGAAAAAGCGGAAAATGTCGACATTATTGCGAAAATAAACAAGCAATAAAAATAACAAAGAACGAGATTCAGATTTAAACGTTTACTCGCTTATCCAACGGGGTATATTAATGTTCGGGCAAAGAGTTGCAATATATTAATGTTCGGGCAAAGAGTTGCAATATATTAATGTTCGGGCAAAGAGTTGCAATATCTAGTGAAATAGTAGAATAAAATCTCTGAAGAGATGTTTCGAATACTGGACAAGAATAGACCATGATATTGAAAAAAAGCTCCTCGTCACAAAGATAGAACCTTGACCAAAGACAGAAACGTCGTGATTAAGACTGCATATAGATTTTGCAGGTCCTATCAATGGGTCACATAATCTTGCGGTAGTTGATAGTTTCACTAAACGGGCGGAAATTTATAAGTGCAAAAATTCAACATCTTCAGTGACGGTAAATTTCGTGCATGAACTGTTTGCGAGATATGGCATACCAGATACCATAATCTCTGTTAACGAGACTTTCCTCACCTCTCCCTAATTAATATGCACAGCGTTTGACCAGTTGGGAATTCCATATGCAGTAAGCTTGAATGTGCGGATAGTCTATGCGATGAGAACTTGGTATTGGAAATTGGAAAGTAAAGTTTCAATTCCTTCCGAGTTTTTTATATTCGCTTACACGCAAATAACCTTGGGAAAGGTATGAACCCACTTCTTCTCCCCTAGCTGTGAATTAATTAGTATGACTTGTATCACTAAATCATCTATTATCTCCCGAAAATTTTTACAATCTGAAAGTATTTACTGGCTCTAAATAACCTGCAAAAGGTTGATAAGCAGTAAAATTCAAATCAATGGACAGTGGACAGTTTTTGTGATAGATGCCGTCAAGAGAAGATGACCTTCGGACAGGTGGAAAAAACACCACTTATATACATGCTAGATTTGGGAGTGAGGATAGACTTTGTGATATTCGCTAACTTTTCTTTTTCGGGGTTTGAGAGAAGGCATGTAACCCATTTATAAATTTTGCTAGCATGTTGACTTCATATAAAATAAAAATTTAATTTACATTCTTCCGACTTTTCCTTAACCTTTCTTTATTTTTTTTCTTTTTAAGTGTTTAATATCTATACCTATGGCAGGTACTATTAACCTTCGCATATATATATATATATATAATGATCTAAAACTGTAAATTTTGGACTTCCCAAATGAGTATATCTGTAGCGATTTAAGTCGCTGCTTTCGAAGTTCGAATTCAAATAGAGGAAAAAAAAAACGTAGATATTGAATCCCGTTTCTTTTTCTATTTTTAGAGAAATGGCGCTTCATAGTCTTTTTTTTTAGTCTTTGTCAAACTCCACATCAGATCTTAGTCGTGGACCTGAAAATCTAAGTGATTTGTTCGATGCAATGAGAATAGAGTGGATTTTTTTCCGGTTGACTTCATCACAGTACACTTAAAAGTGAAAAGAATTCCGGCGGCTGCTAATGCATCATGGGAAATATGGCATAGTGTTCACTGTTCGCTCTTCGTATTATGATTGAAAAGAGGTAAGTGCATTAACGTTCTAAACCAGAATGCTTGCTTTGCATCCATTTAACCGTCTTTAAGGTTTTTTCCGCTCAAGAAAAGAAATAATAAAAAGCAAGTTTCCAGATATTTGAGTCGTTTCATTGGTTATTTGTGTGGGTGTGTTCATTTGTATGTCTCTCCTTCTTTTTGCTAGATGTACATTTATCTGTGAGCGTAAAAAATATTTTTTCGTGCCATGCATGTCCTACGCATGCGTGCTCGTTTTGGTGAAATTACGTATCAAGCATCCTATATATGACTAGGTTTGACCGTGTTATTGCTGTCTAAGGATTATCAAGTAGTTTTTCAGACCAATAGTTGTTTGATTGTGTATTTTTACGGATTATCACCCGTTTATGGGTTATTTAAAGCCTAACAATATTTTAGATTGTAAGCATTTTTTTAAAATCGGTATTACTCCATGCAAGGCAGTAAAAACCACTAAGACACAAAGGGATACAAGGTGTGGAAGAATTAGGAACAGAAACAGTTATGAGCGCGAAGAGGAAAGAGTAACCAGGAGGACAAGATATAACGATTGACATTGCATTTAAAATTTTTGCAGATTAAAGTTGGCTGGAAAACATGGAGACAGAAAGGAGTTCCACAAGCGAGAAAGGAAACTGTTAGTTTAGCCTTTAAGGTTGTATCTAACCAACGAAAATGTAAATTAACGAGATCTGGACGCCAGTCTAATACTGCGCTTAAATTCAAAAAGTCTAGGTAACATATCGAATAGCTCATTCGAACAATTATGAGGCATAAGTATTTTACCTTTTCAGAATATTGCCTTAACAAATTTTTAAAAATTACAAGTGTCTTCAGATTCAAGTTCTACTATTTAACACATGGTTGGAGCAGAGAGTTGGATTCGTATCTTTTGCAAGGATATTCGTACGTACGTGAATGTACTGTGTTGCACCATATATGGCTTATTTTTCTATTGGTAAGATTTATTTGGATTTAATATAATTGTGTATTAATCTCCTGGTAATGTTAGTAACATCTTGTACGGATGTACTGGTATTTGGTTGGTACATATAAAGAATCTTTAGTCAATAGTTGTAAATTAATTTACCAAGTAATTCTATATGTTTAAAATATTTACTGGTTTCTTAAAGAAGCTATTTATTTAAACTATAAAATGTTTTTTTTTATGTAGGAAACTCACACATCATATAAATTGTCTAGCATTTTGTTAGATTACCACTTCATTTTTTCTTGTAATATCCTAAAATAAAGTTTATTGGTTTACTTTGTATTGACCCTTTTTAAATTAAATGTTATGAAAGTTGGAATTTTACTCTATTCGTTCTCATCTTACCTGAATATATATATATATATATATATATATATATATATATATATATATATATATATGTATATATAATCCCCCAAACAGAGTCCTTGTATTTGATAAAAAATGTCTCTTAAATAAAAAAAGAAATGGATACATACATTTTTATCATTTATTTAAAAAAAAAATTAAAAACGTAATTTTTTATTAAAATAGATATTTTTACATTTTTTAAAAACGAATTTATGTCATTAAAGTATCAACAGATAATGTATTTTAAAATTATCATATTTTTAATTGTTTAACAATGATTTACTTAAATTAAAAAGTGTAAAAATATGCAGATACCAATTATGCAAGCACATTGAAGGTACGACATTTATAAATGAATAAGTTCAGATAATTCTGTAAAAATCAGGGATCGATTTGTCACTCTATCGATATGATGAACAGGACCCCACTTCTAAATCGATAAAAAATATTTTCCGAATTTGGAAAATTTCGGGGTTTGGGGAAGTTCTAGAGAATAGTAATTTATAAAATTATACACCGGAAAATGTTTCCCTATTTTTTAGGAATTGTCCAGTTTATTGCCTAAATCAATTCTCACTTGGTCAAATTATGAACAATTTCGGCTTTTTGGCAGTAAGGAAGTGTTAAAAATTTAAGATGTCGGGTCGTCAACCGCGTGACAAAACATATGAGACCGCTTATTAGGCCTCTCTTAAAAGACGTTCATTAGAAAACATAATGAGATGGGAAGCATGATTTTTCAACAAATGAATATATTCGATCCATCACTAAAAATGCTGGTCGATTTCTTGTACTGCACCAGAAGCTACCTGGCTCTCCTGATATTTATAAGAGCCAGATCAGACCAAAAATGAAGTACTGCTCCCATATCTGGTCTGGAGACGGAGCAGTCATCTCTTTCAAGCCCTTTTCAAATGCATCTAGGTGCCTTGTGGGTGATGAATTACTTTCAACTCTATTTTACAAAGATCCGGAGTAAATGGAATAGCCAGAATTTGGTTCTTGGAATCCAACCCAAAACATGATAGACTTCCTTTGTCATTTCAAAAGGCATAAAACAAGATATTGAAACTCGAGACAGATTGGTCTCATCTAAATCATCGGTGTTTATCTGACCGTACTAGAAGTGCAGGCGGCAAAATAAAAACAAACAAAGCGAATGGGTGAAATTAAAAATATAAAATGGCGACAGTTTACCCATCGCACTCTGTTATATATTGTGGGGAAAATTGTGAAAATGGCTTACCTCGGAAACGCGTGCGCATCTGTGCAGTGTGCAAACTCCGGTCCGCCCAACGGCAAAAGGAACCAAAATGGCGGCGCCCATATTTTATGCCGGGCGGTCTCGGTTAGTTAACGCGAAATCTCGTTGTCTCGTCATTCGCATGCAAATCGTGGTCGGTCCTCGGCTGTGTAAAGCAGGCTCGTTTTGCTGTTTCAGATCAGAGAGCTTTCGGCTTGTGAGAAGGTTGGACGTGCGACACCAGTTTTCTTTGTTCCTACCTGCTATCATCAGTTGAGTTGTTGCGTTACCCCCCCCATATATATATATATATATATATATATATACAAGTATAGGATTGGTGTATACAGAGTAAATTCCAAAACCAACAAATACTGTATTTACATTAGTCGGACTATTGTCCTCATCTTTGTCGCCATATTTGTCACAACGTTTCGGCCGTTGTACGCTCCGGCCTTCTTCAGGTGGTTGGAATTTCGAACTGAACCCTTTATTTCGATCGCTGGGGTAGACTGTTCTAATTCCACGTGCCATGTTTGATGGATGTCAGTTATCAGTTATCTCCTGCTAATTTTCCCTATATTAGTTGCCAAGTCCGACTAATGTAAATACTGTACATAATACCTCATCTCAGAAATATAGACAAACCCAACAAATACTATTCTTAAAACAGTGCTCAATATAGAGTAGAGCGAATATAATTATTTATTCGAAAATTATAACATAAATCACTACAAAAATAGCCATTTTGTTTCAACACTTCAATCACTTGATAAGACACCAGAAGTGTTGAAACAAAATGGCTATTTTTGTAGTGATTTTATAACATATTTATGTTATAATTTTCGAATAAATAATAATATATAATAATTTTCGAATAAATAATAATATATATATATATATATATATTTATCTATTTAGCTGTCTCCGTTTGTTAAGATATCTATGTATATCTATATATATATATATATATATATATATATATATATATATATATATATATATATATATATATATATATATATATATATATATATATATATATCGATAGATAGATAGAGAGAGAGAGAGAGATTTGAACAGACTGAGATAGATACATAGATATATGAACAAACTGAAACGGAGTTATAGATACTGAAATAAATAGATATATGAACAGATTGCTATATATAGATAAATAAATAGATATATGAACAAACTGATATAAGCAGACTGACATACAAACACACATATATATAGATGAACAAACTGAAATAGATAGAGATGTGAACAGAGTGAAATAGATAAGTAGATAGGTATATGAAAAGACTATGATAATAGATATATGAACACATTTAGATAGATAATGAACGGACTGAGATAGATAGATAGATAGATAGATAGATACATACATACATACATACATACATAGATAGACATGAACAGAATGAGATAGATAGATAGATAGATAGATAGATAGATAGATAGATAGATAGATGAACAGACTGAGAGATCAATAGATAGATGACTACCTCTTTTTCAATTTTCCCACAACAGATTTAGAAAGGGCAAATAAAATGTGAAGAAAATTATAAAAGAACTCAAAGAAAGATTGAAAGCAAAGTGTAAATAGATGGATACCAAAAAAAGACAAATTGACATTCTTTCTTTACCCCATTCATCTGTTAAATTAGGTGAAGCTTTACTTAATATTTTCTTTTATTTCTTGGCCCGTGACATTCTTCTGAAGTAGGTAGCAGATACTACAGCAGTGGTTAACAGCCTTTTTATAACTATCGGCCCCTTTGCTCCAAGTCCGTACCCCCAATATGCCTCTCACACGACGATATGAGCGTACTTCTTTCTTGGTATTAGGTAGACTGCAAGTTAAAAGAAAACAAATCTAACACTGTAAACGCACATATGAATTTCGAAAATAACAAAACCAATTTATTTGGTTTGTTTAGCAGCATGAAAGTGTAAATTAAGTTTTAATCAGAAGAATACGTTTGGTTCTTGGAGACGAGAAGAACTCTTCTATTTCCTCGTTAAGGCATTTTCAGTTTTTTTCTTTGCTTGCACACAAGCTGGACGACTGCACTGAAAACCTTTTTACTCAAAATGATGTTTGGAAAACATAAAGTACATCTTGACTTTGTTATGAAGTGCAGGGTAGCGGCCGAAAAATGCATTTTGTAACCAAAATATTATCATGATATGATTTGATTTTTTTTTTTTTGGTTACTTCGATCTCTGATCAGTGTCTTCCTCCAGCGTTACTCTTTCCTCATTACTGATATCTAGCATTGGATTGATCACCTAGTCCGTTATATTAAAGAAAAACATCCCGAAATGTCTCAGATATGACGTTATGCATGTCATCCACGTGTGTATAATATAGATGAAGGTCATCATCTGTGTATACGCTTCTTTTTTTATTTCAGAGAGGCTTGGGAACTGAACAGTATACGAGGGATAATGTTACACCTTAACTTGCAAAAGGAACGTGGAAAGGGCTGATTTGACTTTGATAAGGTTAACCTTAACCATCAGTATTGACGGATATATATATATATATATATATATATTAAAAATTGTAAGGTTTTAAACCAGTTTGTCTCATCTTCAGATTTATTCTGGCAAATTTGACTATATTCTCGACATGGAAAACAAAACTAATACCCCCACCCCCACAAAAACAAAACACAAACTCTTACTAAAAAGGAAGTTACAAATATCCAGAAAGAGGTTTATTCAGGAGCGTCTTTTTTTTATTAAATTTTGGATTTGATGTAACTATGGCTACAAAACATTTCGCTTTCATTGCTTTCCTTGATAAAGTCGAAACGTGTCGGCAAGAACTAAGAATTTTTCCATTTGTCATTTTAATTTTTCCATTTGTCATTTTCCATTTGTCATATCTTTATTCTGGGAAATTTAACTCTCTCTCTCTCTCTCTCTCTCTCTCTCTCTCTCTCTCTCTCTCTATATATATATATATATATATATATATATATATATATATATATATATTTATATATATATATATATTTTATATAAAGAAAAAACAGACCACTTTAAAGTACCATTATAATAATTTATTTCACCAGATCCCTTTTCAAGGACGCCGGATTCTCAGATAGCACTTCCAAAAATGAAATGAAACGAAAAATGAAATTAATATATATATATATATATATATATATATATATATATATATATATATATATACACTTCCAAAATTTCAAATAATATATATATATATATATATATATATATATATATATATATATTTAATATATATATATATATATATATATATATATATATATATATATATATATATATAATATATATATACCTTTTAATTTCCAATATATATATATATATATATATATATATATATATATATATATATACTACCAAAATTTTCTAAAAAAGATCATACTATGATGAAAAAATCCCCAAATTGATAAAAAAACAAGTTTCTATGGTCAAAATATTTATATTATTATTAAGAGAAAAAAACAAAGTATTTTTTATTATTTTATTAATTTTTTAATCCTTTCTGGGCCATGATTGCCTACGTCCTGAAGGGACACGGCATATAAAGAAGAAGAAGAAGACGGTTAGCCAGAATTTCCTTGTTGTAAATTAACTTCATAGAAATTTGCGAATAAATCTGAAAAAAAATCAATGCTAGTCTTGATATCGTTTTTATATCCCAGAGATCCGAATCGGAGACTTCGAAGAATTCAACAACTTTGTTTAAAAGGAGATAAAAACGTTGAAGAAAAAAAAATTCAAAAAAAAAAAATCTTAATTCTCAGTACAGAATTGTCGAAAAAGTCAGGAACTGAGAGTATGTGACATGATTTTATTTCCTGCTGTGATAACAGTGAATTGGTGAAGTCACCTACTTAATGATTTTGCAACCAGATGTTGCTTGTGAATTACACCAAACATGTCCCCCACCCAAGAAACTGATAAAGCCACGATAACGATCTATCATCGATGGTACGCCATCTGTTACGCTAGGAAGAACGTTGTCAAGTGAGGTGTTTCTATTTGAAAAGAATTCTCAACGAGACGACATACTGGCTGACTTTCTGGGATGAGAAGTCATTAATATTTACACTATTTACATTCGGACTATTGTCCTCATCTCTGTTTTCATTATGACCACGTTTCAGCCGTTGTGCTTCTCGGCCTTCATCAGATGCATATCGATCCGGCTAACCTACAGGGAACCCTGAACTGAACCATTTATTTAGTTAACGTTATGTCTAGGGCTATATTGCTTAGTTCTTATTTCTAGTACTGCTCAGCCATTGCTCGCTCTGTTTCCAAATCCACACTGCCCTGAGTTCAAGTACACACAGCCAGCCCAGGGTTTACTTGGGGTCACCAACTTTACGAAACAATGCTTTAATCCATTTGTCTATTGTCCCATGGGACAATACTTTGTGGAACCTTAAACCTAACCTGCCTGTTGATAAGTGCCACTATTGCTGTTTTATCATGTTTGACTGCACTCAGAGAAGATTTTATATTTTTGTTAAAGTTGCTGCTGTTTACCATGTTTGCCGTAGTCTTTGAATATAGAATCCAGTGAAGTCCGTAATGTATTCAATATCAGAGGTTGGTAGTGAAGATTCGGAGAAAGTAGCAGCTGTTAAGTAATTCTTTAGGTCTTCGTTATCAGAGGTTGGCATTGAAGATATTTTTGGAGAAAAAAAATGGCTGCCTTTATACACGTCGGATTGAATATTTTGAGCTTTCTGATTGGTTAACCCTTCTATTGGTGAACTATAAAATGAGTCAGCTCATTTTGGTTGGCTCACTAGTACATAGTACCTAAAAATTCTAACAACCGCCCCAATTTTGCGTACATTATGGAATCTTCTTTCAAAATATTAGTAAAGTCAATATTCATATCGAACAAATATTTTAGTATTCAGAAATTTTTTTTTTTTTAGCATTCATAAAATAATACTTTTTTTGTTTTTTTAGTATTCATTAAATAATTTTTTTTTAATATTCATAAAAATTTTTTTTCTTAAATGAAAATTAATATCCACAGTTAGTTATATCATTTTGTCCACTGTTAAGTACTTCAGGTTAATAAATATTAACAACAATATTATAAATTTGGGTTGTGATCACAACATAAAAGTGGAAAAAGTTGTTATTTTACCCATAGCTGGGACCCATTAAAACAGGCACTATCACTCCGGGTCAGAGTGATTCTGAGAGTCATTCAGAGGAGGATTGGGCTAAAAGTAGGACTATTTACGTTTATACCCTGAAACTAAGGATTTACATTCATACCAAAAACTGACGTCTCTTAAGACAATAACTAATGGATGCAGTTTTACGTCCTACCCAGGACTAATAAGGACCTTAGAGAGACTTAATGGATGCAGTTTTACGTCTTGCCCAGGACTAATAAGGATCTTATAGGTCAGTACCAAATATGACAGGAATGAAAGCCCCTGATTTAAATTTTGTAATTGGCCTTGTAAATAAATCCGACACGTTATTTTCCAATTTAACATATTCAATTTGTACTGTTTTCTTTTGTACCAGATTCCTAACAAATTGATATTTAATATCGATATGCTTTGATCTTTGATGTATTTTTGGATTTCTAGCCAAAGCAATACTGGCCTGATTGTTACAGTAAATAGTTATAGGCTCACTTATTATCAGTGTTGTAATTGTTTTTATTAGTAATTTAAGAAAAATAGCCTCCTGTGTTGCTTGCGACAATGCAATATATTCCGCCTCACAAGCAGGAAGTGAAATCATTCCCTGTTTCTTAGATTTCCAGCTAATTACTGGATTATCTTTTGCCAATCTCAAGCAATAGCCTGTGATACTTTTACGATCTGGTGAATTTGGCCAATTAGCATCACAAAATCCTTCCAGTTGGAATGGGTTTTCTGATTGTCGAAATACTAGGCACCGATTCTTAGTTCCCTTTAGATAACGTAATACTTGCTTAGCTCTTGTTAAATGCACAGTCCCCGGTTTATTTAAGTTTTGGGACAACTTAGTAACCGTATAGCAGATATCTGGCCTGGTTGATGTCATGACGTAAATAAGACTTCCAACCAATGTTCTGTATTCTTTCTCACACGCCGCTATACCATCTTCATTATTCATAATTGTGTTTAAATCCATTTCACATGGAGTAGTTCGTGTTTTACAATTTTGCATGCTGAATTTAGATAAGAGTTTTTCGATGTATCTGGATTGATTAATTGTAATAGTGCTGTCCTTAAATTCGAACTGTATACCAAGAAACCATGGTAGTCGACCCAAATCGGTCATTTTAAACTTTATATTTAAAGAATTTTTAATTTTTAATAGAGCAGCTTCCCATTTTGAAGCAATTAACATATCGTCGACCCAAATAATCAGAATTACTAATATTTCATTATTAAATATTCTTGTGTACAGGCATGGGTCAACTTGGGAGGATTCAAAATGTTGTTCAATTAAATAGGAATGTATTAATTTATTCCACGTTCTTCCGCTTTGTTTGAGTCCATATAGTGACTTTTTGAGTTTCCATACATAATTATCACCGTTTTCAAAACCTTCTGGCGGTTCTATGTATATTTCATAGTCGATGGCAGAATTCAAATAAGTTGCTTTAACATCCATATGGTGTATATCCATACCATAATGTGCGGCCATTTGCATCAAAATTCTAATTGTTGTCATTTTTGTTGTTGGACTGAATGTTTCTACATAATCTTCCCCGTATATCTGCGAGAATCCCTTAACTACAAAACGAGCCTTATACACTGGCGATCCATCATCAATTCGCTTTACAGTATAGACCCAACGGCTGCCGATAATATTTTTATCATCCGGGGCCTTTTTCAATTCAAAAGTATCATTTGATACTAAGGATTCAATTTCTTTTTGCATGGTGGCTATCCATTGTTTGGAATTGTCAGAATATATGGCTTCTTTGGGATACATTGCACCAAATAGCAACAGTCAATGTCACAGATATTACATTGACTCATTCCAAAATAGTCTGGCTTTCTTCTATTTCTGGTTGGATAACGCGGAATTTGTCCCCCCTCATCGGTTGTATTTTCTTTAACTAAAGTTTTGCATCTGACTTTTCCTCGTCTACATCATCTGGTATAACACCTTCCTTTGATTGTGGATTTTGAACGGGTTTTCTACTTATAGGCCCTATCCCATAATTAGGCCATACTAGTTCATGTTGGACCAGTTCCTCGCAGTCAATGTTCTTTTCTTCGGAATCCTCCACTTGCTCAAAGGAATCTGTAAATCTGACGCATCTGATCTTCCTTATTATTTTACTTTTTGGGAAATAAATCATATAGGCCGGACTTGTTTTATTCATACCCAATAAATATGCCTCTTTCACTTTTTTGGATCTAGTTTTGCCCTGTGGTCGACATATGTGTAGCAAATTGTATCAAAAATATGCATACCACTTACATTGGGTTTGTAGTTCGTATAAGCTTCGTAAGGAGTCTTTTTAATGTTACTATTATAGCAAGGTTTCTTATATATACATGGCTGTATTTAATGCATAAACCCACAGATTTTTTGGTAACTTAGATTCTATGAGCAAACATCTAGCTATTTCGAAAAGCATCCGCCAACTACGTTCAGCGATTCCATGCTGGTGCGGAGAATAAGAACAGGTTTTCTCATGTTTAATGCCTTCATTTATTAGGAGGTTTTCATAATCATCAGAAGTAAATTCTCCACCATTATCTGTTCTAATTATTTTTACTTTTCCATACGGGGAGATATCGGATAAATAGATTTTTGTAGCTTGTAGGGTATCAGATTTGTTTTTCAGAAAATATATCATAATAAGTCCTGAATATTCGTCAACAAAGTTTAATATGAATAGGTGCCGATACCCATTGGTGAAATTGGACCCGCTAAGTCGCAATAAACTCTGAATAAGATATCTGTTGATTTTGGGATCTGATCCCTATTTCGTCATTTTCCCTTTAATACATGTGTCACAATGTTGTAAGCCCTTTGGAGATGTAATTTTCATTCCAGTGATGTGTTCTTGCAATCTTTTAACATCCGAATTATTACAGTAGCATAATATTTTATGCCAAGTTCTTAAGTCATGTGTGGCTGTCTTCACAGACTTAATACTTTTCAAATAATACAAACATCCATTTTGTTGTATGTTAAATTCAGTTTTGTCTGGGTAGATTAACTTTGAATTGTCTCGGTGAAAATTAACTTTAACACCTGTTCTAACAGTAGACTGAACCGAGAAAATATTTTGTTTAAATTTAGGAATATATAAAGCCCTTTTTAATAAACATTTACAAATATTTCCTTTAGTATCTCGTAAATAAATACAGGCATCGCCTCTTTTTAAAACTAAATTATTAGCTCTGGTCCCGTCAGCTAACTCGATAAAATGGGAATCAGGCTCGAAGTTGGGGTCAAAATTAATAAATTTTGTTTCATCTGTAATTACATGATTTGTCGCACCCGTATCGACTAGGTAAGAATTATAACTATTGGGTATAGTATCCAACCCAAACGAAAAGGCATATGTTCGCTCATTCGAAAAAGTTTTTACAATTTTACAAAAATCATTTTTTGGATAAAATTGACATTTCGCACGTACATGGCCGGATTTACCACAACGATATTTCTTTTTCTATTATTTCTGTTCCAGTGGTTGTTGTTGTTGTTATTGTAATAATTATTTTTAAGCCCTTTGTTTTTAATATCATAATTCCTAGTCTGATAGGTTTGAGGAACTGGTTTTCTGAATTTTTTAAATGACGTTCTCAGTTGCATTACGTTATTTCCTTGATTTGGGGGGGTACACATTTTTTTCAGTTTCTTCATAACTACGTAACGCAATTTTAAACTCAGTGAAAGTTAATTTTTTATCTTTTTGAGTTATGACTGTCGTGAATGGTTTGAATGTCGGTGGTAATCCCTTTAAAACCATGGCTATTAGCAGCCCATCTGAGATAGTCTCACCTGCCATTTTTAAGGCATTTGTGACATTCTCAGCTCGTATAATATAATCTGTTACAGATTCATTTTCTCGTCTCCTTAACGCGGTTAGTTCATTATATAAAGCAATAATTTTAGACTTACTTTTTGACAAGTAATGTTCTCACAATATTCGTAGGGCTCGACGTCCGTTGTCCTTCGCTTCTCTCATTATTAAAGACAAACTCCTGTCATCCAGGCATTGTATTAATTTGGCTAACACAGTCACATTTCTTTCCATAAAATCATCAACTTCTTTCTGGTCATGATGTCATGAAGTTTTTGTGGTCTAAGAATTTCGTTTCCCACAATTCGTACTTGGTTTCGTCTCCGTCAAAATAGTCGTAGTCTGCGCTCATAACCAATGTTAACCATGTTTTCCATAGTCTCTGAATATAGAATCCAGTGAAGTCCGTAATGTGTTCAATATCAGAGGTTGGCAATGAAGATTCGGAGAAAGTAGCAGCTGTTAAGTAATTCTTTAAGTCTTCGATATCAGGTTGGCAGTGAAGATATTTTGGGGAAAAAAACAAAATGGCTGCCTTTATACACGTCGGATTGAATATTTTGAGCTTTCTGATTGGTTAACCTTTCTCTTGGTGAACTATAAAATGAGTCAGCTCATTTTGCAAGCTCACTAGTATTAACTAGGTACAGCAGTTTTTTTGCTACTGGATTTTGTTTTGTGTCTAGTACACCAGAAGGTACGTATTTTGTGTTTTAATTACCAGTTACTTTTGAGTTTCAAAAACCAATTCTTTTATTTGTGGAGTTTTTTGTTTGTATTCTTTTTACGTTAACTGTTTGTTGCTTTTTTGTGGGAATACCTTTGTTTTTATTTGGATTTTCTGACTTTGTTGAATTGTCTATTGCCTTTGTTTACCCAGTTCTTTTTTCCATTTGCACCATCTGAATTGTTTGTCCGATGGCCCCAAATGGGGCCAAGGAAAAAAAAGGAGTCTCCGTTATAAAAAATGTGGGGTTTTGATTTCATTGCGAAAAAATGCGAGATTACAATGCCTTCGGTCATGGAACTCAACAGCCCAAACAGGACCATCTCCTGTTGACGGTCGACATTAAAACCATGGAGCGAATATCGGTGTCAACAGGGGGCCATGGAAGAAGCCCTAAAATGTCTAAATATTGGGCCAAAAATTTTGGCAAACGATCGAATGCTTGCTGGGACATCCTGTTGGCAGAAGAAGAAGCAAAGCAATTAGCCGGATGCACCCTACCAGACGAAAACTTTGAGGCTGCAAACGGAATACACGGGGGACTCAAAAAGCAAGGATTATCCTTGACGTGATATAAATTAAGAAGACCATGTGTGAACCTTCTTTTTCAAAGATTACGGCCATGTGGAGGGGGCATTGTTCATCAGGAATAAAGCGGGGATTGCCACCTGGTGATTTGGAGGTCACGGTGACATTGAACAGGTCCAATTTTCAGGATATTCTCGGATACAATTTCGTGTGGAAACCGGAAAATTTGGTGTGGTCAAGTCAAAGGCCAGCCCTTCTGTTGGGTTTGCGGTGAAGGAGGGACACCTGGCCAGAACCACCAACCAATAGAGCCAGACTGGTGGTAGCAGGCGAAAGCCCCAACATCAGATGCTGTCAAGGAGGGACCAGGTAAATGCTTGGTCATGGACGGAAGTGGTGAAGAGCCAAGGTGTTGGCCTCACCTCCCCAGCAGCAGCAGGGATGGAAAAAGGCTGCAATCAGTTGGAGGAGAAGGCTGAAACACAGAAGCATCAAGAGCAGGCCGAAAAAAAAACAACAGCAGCAGGACGTGCCAGATAACCAGCAGACAAACAGAGGCAGGAAAGGGTGGCCCCAAACAACAGGTCTCCAAAGTCGGATGTCCCCGGTAAAGTGCTTCTAAACAAAAAGCAGCTGAAGCATCATCAAGGAAAAGGAGCAGACAGAGTTGCAGGATCAGCCTGCGACAAAGTTGAATGGAGAGCGCAGCAGCAGCATGAGCCCAACGCAGCCGGCGCAACATGCAGCAACAAAACAAAGGCTGATGAGATTTTGACCCAGCTGGAGAGGAAGAGGTGGAGGAAAAGAGGGGATCCATCATTGAAAAAAGATGAGGACGAAGAAAAGCAGAGGACTTTATTAGCAGCAACAAAAAAAGGAAGCAGGCCGGGTAAGCAACACCAAAACCATTCCGCGACAGCATCGCCAGAAAACAGAAAAGGATCGTCGGCAAGGACCTTTCTCTTCCCCTATTAGGGCTCCGTCTTCTCCTTGAAAAAGGAGCCCCCAACCAATCCAAAGGAAAAAAAAAGCAAAGCATTTGCCCAGAGGGGAAAAAAAATTTTCTGACAGGACCAGGGCAGTCCGTCTCGAAAGGGACCTTTCTAGCTCCCCCAAAAATAGGCCCTCTTAAGGCCTCTTTTCCAAGTGTACCTCTGTTGATGGCAAGTTCACTGAGGATCCTCTAGAAACCTCCGCCCCCCGGCGTGATCCCCATCATCGCAAGGAATAAAAAAAGAAAAAAAGTCTGGGACTATTTGGCGGAACGCGAAAGAAGCTTTGGATAACTGCGGATGCCCAAAGAGGGAAACACCGGATTTGAAAAAATTAGAGCAGTATTGTGCAGGGAGGGCCCTGATTCTTCTCCATCCCTTGCTATATAGGGGGTAAAATTAATGTTTCTGACAGACGCCCCTGGTATGATCACAGAAGATCACGAATTACACCGGATTAGGAACTGGAAGCCTGGGACAATCCGTCGGGGTTTGGACCTTTAGATTTCCGGCCAGTCTGTGTTGAAGGAATTTAGGCTTAAATCATGTCTATTAAGCTAGCCAGTTTGAATTGTGATGGGCCTGAGAGATCAGGGTAAGGCTGCCCGCCAGCTTTGTTATCTCATGTCCTTCGGAGTGGATGTGGCTGCGATCTAGGAGACACACTTTGTTTGCGAGACTGATACTCGTGTGCTGTCTAGCGACTTTGTTGTCTATTCAGCATATGGCGACCAGCAGGCCAGAGGTGATTACTTGTTGGTTAAACGTTCCTTGGATGTGAAGAGACCATGTTCACGTGGGCTACTCTGGGGGGCGCGGTTGATCGTGGCTGATATTGCCGCGAGCAGTGGTGCAAAGGTCGTTGCGGTGTATGCGCCCAATGACCAGAGGAACGCGTCGTTTTTTTTTCCGTCAGTTGGGGCCATTCCTAGTGGATTCTTCGCGCTTAGTCTTAATGGGGGACTGGAATGCCGTCCTGGACCCCAAGATAGATAGGGGGCGGGAGCTAACAGGAGGCATCGGGCGATCGTAGCTTGGTTGATCTGATCGACGAGTTTGGTCTCGTCGATAGATACCGGGTCGATCATGGGGGATATGTGGACGTGGGGTTCGTAGTTGGAAGTCTCTCCAGGTAGCCAGCAACCTGGACAGGATGACAGTGAGAAGAGTCGATCTAGATTTACTAGATTGACCCACGTTCCACCGGCTAGACTATTCAGATCATAGACTCGTCTGTGCCTGGATAGTGTTAGGTTCTAGGCCTAGAATGGCTGGACACTGGAAGTTCAATCTGTCCTTACTGGACAGGCGGGACTTTCAGCAACAAGCTAACTAGATTAGTGCAGTGGGAATTAGTGGGGGCGGTTATTGGGAATAGGTGGTGGGAGAATCTTAAGGATAGGATTGGGTCCTTCACCACTGAATTTAGCCAACGACTCGCCCTACATAAGGCTGAAAAGGTGAAGACATTAAGGATAGCCTTTCCGGGCGGTGGCTGGGTGGGATTCCCTAGAGATAGCCATAGCTAGGCAGGCCCTGAAGCGTGAGGCTAGCAAGCGCTATCAGGGTCAGGTAGTTAGACATAGGTTAAACAAGATGTCTAACGAGGCCGTGAACATGGGCACAGAATTGCGCAAGGAAGAGATCCGTCGAGGTTCCGATCGATACATTCGTGAGGTCATCACCCCGGAGGGGCGTGCTCTGAGGTTGACCAAGAATATGTATTTGCGGCATTTCGAGAGCGTTTTACCGGAGCCTGGTTTCGAGTGGCAACGAGCGAGTTTCTTTCCTCGGCTATTTGAAGACTTTCCATTGTGAAGGCGAAGTCTACACTGGCATTGAAGAAGGTCGGCAGAGGCAAGTCGCCGGGACTTGATGGTCTGCCCTACGAAATGTACTTGAGGCTGTCGCACATCTTTGTCCCGATTTTGACAGTGGTGTTCAACAACTGGTTCCGGCAGGGGTCCATCCCCAACCGGATTTCCAGGGGTGTGATCACGCTTATGAAAAAGGGCAAGGATGTTGGGCGAGATTTAGATGATTACAGGATTCTAAACACAGAGTTAAAGATTTTGGCCAAGATCCTGCAGGAGCGTTTGCAGTCAGTTGTCGCGAGCTTGTCGGGACCTGAGCAGACTTGTGCTGTGAGGGGACGAACAATTCAAAGCAACCTGCATCTGATCCGTACGATCATAGAGGGCGTAAAAGACGACAAGCAGGCCGTGCTGATCAATTTGGATCAGTCCAAGGCATTTGACAGGGTCGACCATCAGTACCTGGCTGCCGCCGGATTCGAACCTTCTGCAGGTGGATTAGCTTCCTGTATCGCTCTCCCAGTGCTGTGGTACAGGTGAACGGAAGGTGGTCGAGTGCTTTTGCGCTGACTCGGTCGGTATGACAGGGGTGCCCGCTGTCGCCCCTTTACGCTTTGGCGTTGGAGCCCCTTTCTTCGCCGGCTGAGGGATGAGGCGTGCAGTCCGGCCCTACGTGGAATTGCCATTTTCTCTGGTAGAACTCGAGCCAGGGTTTCTGCGTACGCCGATGACGTTTCCATCTTTGTGTCGTGCCGCAGCAACATTGAGGTGGTGCAGAAGGCGCTTGAACGGTACGAGAAGGTGAAGATTAACCGCACAAGTCTTCCGCCTTGCGGTTAGGTGCCTGGAAGGGGTCACGCTTCCGGGGCCCTTTCGGCTGGACGGATGGACCTGTCCGCATCCTTGGGGTGTGGTTCGGGCCCGGACTCCGGCTGAAGAAGAATTGGTCAGAAGTACAGGCAAAGGTCGGAGCGTCGGTCCGGACTTGGCTTCGAAGGGGGTTGTCCTTAAAGGGTAGGGCTGAGGCGTGTGCCACTTACGTCTTGCCCTTATCTTTTACCGCTTGGCTGTACTTTCTCTTTGCTGGAAACGTATGGAGGCGATCGAGCGCTTGTTGGCCGATCTCTTGTGGGACGGTCGCAAGCATTGGATCCGCAAAGAAGCCTGTTGTCAGCGCCCGTGTCATGGGGGGGGCTGGTATGGCCACACCTGGCGAGTCATCGCCATGCCTCGAGGTTGGCCTTCCAACGCTGCGTTTTGACGGAGGACTCGATGTTGGCGCCGAGTGTTAGGGATGCTTTCCCTCGCCTTACCATCACTCCCCCCATTTCTTGGGGGAAGCGCCGTGGGGGTCGTGGAAGGTTGTCGGCGAGTGTCGGTCGGCCTTGAAGGTCATTCCTCGGTCCAGTGACCTTTCCCGGCGTCGGAGACTATTGTATCATGAGTTAGTTGAGGGGCTCGCGAAGGATCCTCTGTGTGACCGGCTCGGCTTGTCGGCATCGGAGTTGCGCTCTTTCTGGTCCTGGGTGCCGGCGGCGGATTATCTCACCAACCCTGAGTTTTCGCTTAGCTGGCGATTGATTCGAAACGTGCTACCTCTCAATGACATTCTATTCAGAACGGGCGAGGCAGATTTACCAGAGTGTTACCGGTGTGACCTTGGTTTAGAGGAAAAGGCTTCGAACGCCTTCTACCATTGTCCTCAGGTGGAAGTTTAACTCAACAAGATTTTCCCAAGAACTAGAACAGTGTCAGTCATTATCTAGTCCCATTATTATAATATTCATTTTCTACTACCTTCTCTTTCATTAATATCACTCTATTTTGTATCCCTCTACCTTGACTGGCTCTCAAGCATTGTATTGTGTGATCTTTAATAGAAATGAAATAAAAACGATAGCCACCAGTAACCAAGGTGTTTGCTGCGCGAAAGTGAAGTCATGAAGCCATCCAGACTTTTGGAATATATGAAGAAAATAGATTTACCTTATTTACATTGTTCGAACTATTGTCCTCATCTTCGTTGTCATATTCACGACGTTACGACCGTTGTACTCTCAGGCCTTCTTCAAGTGACTAAAATCTCCAAACCGTGTAAATAATTACAACAGTTATTATCATCGCAGAGATAAAGAAGAAAATACACCCTGATAAAGCAGACAATAACGTAGGATATTTATAATCACTTCCAGAAAATCTTCAGGAACGGAAAACTATTGGAAATGCATTTTTATACAGATAGGAAGGGAAGATAACTCTAGAAGAGGTTAAGATTGTAGTAGTCAGGGAAACTAACTCTTGGGAATGGAATTAACGATAGATCAGTAAGAGGCTCACTACATCTCGCTTGTGAGAAAGAGTTTGGAGGGTGGAAAATAATTCGCCACCCACAAGATCCGGCCTGATCTGGCTCTTTTAAAGGTATTAGATAGCAGGTAAGGACAAATGGAATGTGCATTATCCTGGCAGCATTAAAAGAGATTCTCAACACAGTTTGACACAAGTCACCTGCACAACTTTTTTCAAGCTGTTCCCCTCAATGATAATTCTGTTCAAAGAAGAATATATGAAATTGCTGAAAATATTTAAGACATATTGGGCAATAGAAGTTAGCTTACAATTAGATGAGTCCATTCTACTAGACAATGAATCTTTGCTTCTTGCTTTTTTTATTCGTTTCGTTAAAGAAGAAAGTTCGGTTTAAGAGCTGATATTTGCAGGGCAACTATTAACAGACATAACAACGGAATCAGTACTTACACCATTTCTATTCAAAATGGTTTCCTTATATTTGTTGTTGTTATATTGATTTTCTAAGGCCGAAATTAAAGGGCATCTAGTGGGGACTGAACTCACTTTTCAGTCGTAATTGATCTAGCAAGACAAGCCCCTGTTGTTTTTATATGTTAGACCATGAGGTTTTCCTTAGTAGACCTAGTATAAAAATAAATGCGATATACGAGATGCTAATAAATATAGAAAAAAGACATCAAGTCTTAAAGAGCAGCAGCTGTTAGAATTTTTGGGTACTATGTACTAATCAATATTTATTTTGTAAATAGTACAAAATTGTGGCACAAGGCCCAGTGGGGCGTGAAGGGGAAAAAGGTTGGTCTTCACTAGCTATCCTATTCCTAGTTAACCACAATCGTGACCCATTAATTCATTACAATTACACATTCACCACAAAAACTCATCCATCACCAATCACTTCAGCACACACCACAATACCTCATATACACAGGGGACCTACCAAACACCCCATGAATTAAAAATTTTAATGTTCACAAATATATATATATATACTTAAAAATTCCATGAAACATGAAATGATGGCGAGGGGATATGAACCCCAACAAGAAAATCAAAATATCAACCAAAGACAAAACGAAAACAAAACAATGTTAGTAGGACCCAACTACCCCTCAAAAATAATGAGAGTGGTCGCTGTATTCTGTCGATAGACAAAATCAAGAAGCACACTCACTAATGGAATGGGGAGGGAAAATAAACAACGGAATGAGAAAATCAAAAGCTGACTCAGCCGAGATGAAAAGTGGGGACAAAAACAAACTGGGGAGATTGGGAATCTCGACGTATATCATAATAAAAGAATAGCCGGGAACAGGCCAGGAACAACACTTATTCACATTAACTAGGAACACAAAATAGTGACTAACTTAACCAGAATGGGGGTCCCTAGGAAACCGCCTCGTTGCACTAAGGGGACTTAAAAAAGAAAATCAAGGCTAGCCCTGTCCACACGAACCAGGCTTGCCATAGTTACCAACCTTTCGCTGAAATCTGTCGAAATCAAACGCTTTCGATCAGATCTGATTTTCACCCTAAGCTGATGCTTAAAGAACGAAATCAGATCCTGATACGAAAAACGATAATTTCACAAGATTCCCTCTTTTCGCGACATCCACACAACCATTCTAGCCACGGCTAGCAACGTAAAAAACACCATTAGTTTTACCCCGGAATACGGAGGAAATTAGGGTGATACGGCTCTATGGGAGTAACATGGCGAATCCTAGCTGTAAACGTCTGAACTGATGGAACTAAATCTGGTGCTATTACAAATCCATCTGTGTGTGCGTGTGTGTTTGTGTGTGTGTTTATTTGTGTGTGTTTGTGTGTGTGTGTGTTTGGAAATACCAATGGCTTTTATCAAATTTTTCAATGCCTCAGTTTAAAAAGCGTAAATACAAAAAACATCTTCTTAACATTTTTCATGATTTTGCTAGATAGAAAAAAAAAGCACGAACTTAAGAACTAATGTTGAAGCAGACCCCACCTTTTAAAAAGCACCCCCTTTTTTTAATATACATATTTGGTAGTTTATCAAAAAGTACCAGAAAGCAAAAATTTGGAAAAGTAACATATGATGAAAAAATGCCCAAAACCTAAATAAAAATTAAAATTTATCATCGAAATGTTTGTATTATTCTTCTTCTCCTTTATGTGCCGTGTCCATTAAGAGCATAGGCGGTTAAGGCTCTCCACATCTTCCTATCCCTTTTAGCTCTTAATAAGTTTTGTATCTTTGTTATTTCTCCCAAAGCCCGTTCTACCATCCATTTCCTCAAGCCAATCAAGTATGTTACACGCTCATTTCCCCTGTCCCTTTCCCTCTCAATCTTTCCTGTGAGTATCAGATTTTCCAAGCCGTCTTTCCTTATTACTTCCTCCAGAAATTTCAACTGCCTCTACATGATGTTAAGTATAAGTTTCCATTTGTTTCCATTTACTTCAAAACCTCGTTGTTGCCCACATGTTAAGTTCATATCCTCAGCATCCTTCTGTAGAGAATTATTCTGAATCATTATTAAGAAAAAAATTAGAGGATATTTGATGTAAAACGTATTTTACAATTATTTATAGAACAGAAGATATTAAATTTTTAAGTGGATCTTGAGTAGATTTTTATGAAAAAAAAAAACAAAAAAATTGATTTGGAAAAATCTTTCACAAATGAAATATAAGACATTAATGAATTTTTTTAAAGTTACTTTTTTTTTTTTTAAGCATTTCAATCCAAGCAAGGCAGGGGTGCCACGAGTACGCAAGGGGTTACAGAGTGGGAGCGAGAGTAAAGAGGCGGGATAGAGGAAAGGATGAAGAGAAGAACAGGGAATAGGTCAGGGCATCTCCACCGCCTTAACTTGGAGAGGGGAATTAACAGAAGATAACCGACATCCATTAAACACGGCACGTAGAACTAGAACAGTCTACCCCAGTGAGCGAAATAAAGGGTTCAGTTCGACATTCCAACAACCTGAAGAAGGCCGGAGTGTACAACGGCCGAAACGTTGTGATAAACATGGCGACAAAGTTGAGGACAATAGTCCGAATAATGCAAATACTGTACATAATACCTTATCTCAGAAATATAGACAGATATTGAAAGGCCGAAACACTGAGATAAACATGACGACAAAGATGAGGACAAAAGTCCGAATAATGTAAATAGTGTACATAATACCTCATCTCAGAAATATAGACAGATATTGAAAGGCCAAAATGTTGTGATAAACATGGCGACAAAGATGAGGACAATAGTCCGAATAATGTAAATAGTGTACATAATAACTCATCTCAAAAATATAGACAGATATTGAAAGGCCGAAATGTTGTGATAAACATGGCGACAAATATGAGGACAATAGTCCGAATAATGTAAATAGTGTACATAATAACTCATCTCAAAAATATAGACAGATATTGAAAGGCCGAAATGTTGTGATAAACATGGCGACAAATATGAGGACAATAGTCCGAATAATGTAAATAGTGTACATAATAACTCAGCTCAGAAATATAGACAGATATTGAAAGGCCGAAATGTTGTGATAAACATGGCGACAAATATGAGGACAATAGTCCGAATAATGTAAATAGTGTACATAATAACTCAGCTCAGAAATATAGACAGATATTGAAAGGCCGAAATGTTGTGATAAACATGGCGACAAATATGAGGACAATAGTCCGAATCATGTAAATAGTGTACATAATAACTCAGCTCAGAAATATAGACAGATACTGAAAGGCCGAAACATTGTGAGAAACATGACGACAAAGATGAAAACAATATTCCGAATAAATTATAAATAGTGTACATAATACCTCATCTCAGAAATATAGGCATACTGAAGGCACAGGCAAGGTGAAATAATGGGAAAGTGATGCCATGTCAAAGACAATAATATAGCAGATTCTTCTTTAGGCTTTGTCTAGAATCTCAAGATAAATAGCAGAAGCACAAGATCATATTTCTCTTTGTGGTGTTTACTTAAATGGACCTGTTTAATTATTTTCACATATTCAGTCAATATTCTTACTATTCTACATTTCCTCTGTTTACATTTGCAACACCAGATTCTTTAAATGTTTTCTTGCTGATCAATTCACTTTTTGGCCTATTATTATACTAATCTTTCTCAAATCTCCTTTTTGTGACAATCTGAAAGACATTTCTCTTTTTCTTATCTTGTCAATTTTGTCAATTCCTTTGTTGATTGTTCTTTGATCTGCATTCAACTTTTCTTTGACAAGTTCTAGCGTTGTCTTCCCATCACTCAATATTTTTGCCATATCTTCTTTCACTTTTCAGCTTATATCTTTCTTATGGCTCATGGCAACCTTTTAAATGTTTGAATATAAAACATAAATATTAATATCTATAAGATTATAACAATATATATATATATATATATATATATATATATATATATATATATATATATATATATATATATATATATTGTAGGCCAGAGATTTGAATGACCCTCTGATTTCGAAAGTCGTGTGCCTTTTTTAAAACTAATTTACAAGCTCACCTCAGGTTAAAGTGACTTTCTCTTCCTGAGGGATTTTATCATATACTCAATAATATGACAGCCCCTGTAGATTAATTATTGATTAATCAGTTGTTATTTTTTCAAAACCTTTTAAAAAATGTAAATTTTAAAAAACGGCGGGAACTTAGTTGCCAACCCAATAATTTCTTTTTACCAAAAATGATCATTGGAAGATGTCATGAAGCCATTTCTGACCTTAGGTCTCTACCTGGGACCTGAAAGGAAAGGTGTATACAACAGAATTCAAAGGAGAGTATGCTTAAAATTTTACTATCGAAAGTATACCATGACGACATAAAGTATCTTTAAAATTTCAGTTTATTTTGGTTAATCTACTTTGATGGATAACGGTAATCATCGGGCTTCGAAATTAAAATTTTCAGTATACCTCTCTCCATAAAATTTGACACCAATTTTTAATGGGATGAATAGTATTAGCATCCTAGCTTAGTAGGAGTTAATTAAACTAAAGAAGCTATGGAACTTACTAACTATTAATTATAAAACGTTAACCCTACAATATATATATATATATATATATATGATATAAATGAGAAGGTTTATAGCATCCGCAACCGAGAATTGAACCAAGGACAGTTACATTATCAGGAAAATGAAGGTAATGAAGAACTAGCGAATCAGACTCGATATAGCGACAGTCGATGCGCACTGCTGATGGGTCTCAAATATAGGATGAAATCGCCGTTCAGTACTTTCTGCATTCTGTTGAGGTTTCTTCTAGACACGATTAATTATCTTAGCCGACACGTTTCGTCCTCTGAAGGACTTTATCAAGGGATTTTATTTTGTAACAAGTGTATACTTGTATATGAACGTGTAGAAATATTAATGGCTTTCAAAATTTTGAATTTAAGAACGCTTATAAATATTCATTAGGTTAACCGAAATTTCATGCAAACTATGGAGGATGCGAAGTGACAATTCAATTTCTAATAAACGAAAATAAATGTTCTTGATATTTTTTCATCGGCTAAGATAAGTTTTCCTTTTTGTATTTATTCATATTGTTCTCTTACAGATAAAATCTTTTGTGAAATCCCCCATATATATATATATATATATATATATATATATATATATATATATATATATATATATGATTAAAGTATAGTTTTAAGGTATGCTATATTTATGGGTGAAAAGTAATCAGCGTCAGAGTTAGAGTATATATCAATATAAAAGTCTCATGCTTGAAAGGCAATCTTCAGGCCATATATATATATATATATATATATATATATATATATGGCCTGACGATTGCATCTAGCATGAAACAGACTGTCACCTCTAAGTGTTGACTTCTATGTTCACTTTTTATTTACACACACTCTATCTCGATATATATATATATATATATATATATATATATATATATATATATATATATATATATATATATATATATAAGGTATATTTAGGTAACAAATATTGATTCGAGCAGGTTTGATTAAAAATAATCAACAAAGTCTGTCTGTTTAATTTTTTAAATCTATTTTTACAATTTTCGAAAAAAATTTCTGAGTATTTTGATGGAAACTGGAGATAAATTGTCCGAAGCCTCGTTGTCATTTTCAAGGATTCTCTGTGGTAAGCATAGGATGTAGACAAAGGAATTCTGGAAATTTGCAGACTTTAGGCTCTACACTTGTGTTGCGGGTATTATTGAATAGTTCATTTTTTTTGTTTTTGAATTGGGGCAAAATTCATATGCAATTAAAATTAATGACAACTGAGCGAGTATCAGCATTCTTTTGTTTGCGGCATCGGATAAAGATTTTTATTGTCTCTGCCTAATAGACAGACATTTTGTGATTTCGAAAGACTCAAATAATAATAAAAAGAAACATAAAAATATAGAAACTATATATATATATATATATATATATATATATATATATATATATATATATATATATATATATATATATATATTTCAGTTTGTTCTATCTATCTATCTTAGTCTGTTCATATCTATCTATCTATCTATCTATCTATCTATCTATCTATCTATCTATCTTAGTCTGTTCATATCTATCTATCTATCTCATTATGCCCATATCTATCTATCTATCTATCTATCTATCTATCTATCTATCTATCTATCTATTTCTAACTAGCTTAGTCTGTTCATATTTATCTACCGTATATTTCCACGTATAAGGCGACCTATACATAAGGCCATACCCCAAATCTTTTCATACTTATATCTGATAAGAGGAGCGAAAACTTAGGCTAGTCGACGGTGTAAACTCACCCATAGCTCTACAAATCAAAAAGAAAAGACTTGTTGGCGTTACTTGTTACTTGTGCACATTGCCCAGTGGAAATTAGCAGATTGTAGTGTAATTGTTTCTTGAATATTGCATTTTAATATGAAATCAAAAAGTAAACGTAGTTTTATTACATTTATAACTGAGACTTTTTAAATGTCTTCAATATTAAAAATATAATAAAAAATAAACAAATACGATACACTGTGCAACTTATCTTTCCCAATAGGAGTTTCGTAGATATGGCATCCTCTCATCAGGTGATTTGATAATAAACTGAATTTATTTACAAGCATCATATAATTCCTAAAATACGTTATTTAAATTTCTTGAGAAAAAATAACTTATTGACGTTAACTTATTTTATATTCATCCTTTTCCAATCTAATTTGAAACTTGGGTAAAAACTCAGAGCTAGAAAGATAAGTCTAAAATTATATATATATATATATATATATATATATATATATATATATATATATATAGTCCTTATCTGCTTTCCTGTCAACTTTAATTAGCTTCACACTGGTATGATGCTAAAAGACAGTCGCAAGTCTTGCCTGGAGATATTCCCTGTATATACAGTTCTAAGGCTTTATTTTGTAAGGAAATGTCTCAAAAATGAATCAGCTAAAATTGTGTGATAAAATGCATTAAACTTCTGATAGTGACCGCTACATATCATTATCTGGTGTAGTGCTCTTGCTATGTATTTCAAGAATCTCAACAAGTTGTGACAATAAGTTCTATCCTAATAGTTTCTTTAAATGCAACACCAATCGCTATCTTTTCTCTTTTCCTTGCTAAAGTTTTCTCTTTTCTTTTACTTCCAGTAACTCCCTTGAATCTTGGTGGCATTATCACCTTGCAATCTTTGCTTAAAGTCTCTTGGTAATAAATTGGACAAGGAAGCAACAAGTTAATCAGTGGAAAAAGTCTACGTCCTATTTTATGAAAAGAACTTTCATATGAAATATTAGGTTGTACAGAAAGTTAAACAACATCCAGCTTGGTCAGTACCTAGACGGGTGACCGCTTAGGAATACCATATACTTGTAAGTTTAGATGCGCAGGTGATGTAATGGCTAATTAGAAATCGGATAGCTGAGTTTCAATTCCAGTTAGGTTCGTTATGTTCACTTCCGCGCAAATACATTTGGAAAAGGCATGACTCCACCTCTCCTTTCTCCAGTTAACTAGTAGGACATGTATCTTGTAAAATATTGTTATTTCTATAAATTCTTACAATCTAAAATATTTTCTGGTTTTCAGATTCTTTGTTTTCTGAATGTTCTGCCAACTCTGAAATATTCTAGACGGTGAAAATTTATTTGTATAAAATCTGGTTAGAATGAAGAACGCTGAAGAAGATTGTAACGATCTTAATTTGTCTTGCTTTTGTTGCAGATTGTTCTCCTGTATTGTCATGTTAGAGAATAACCCCTTTTCTGCTTACAAAAACAGGGCACTTTCAAGTTAATCTTTCAAATTGTTAGCAATAAATATCTGTAATTATGGAATCTACCCTGGTAACTCGTAATGGACTGGAACTTTTATATGCAACAAATTACAGAGCAAGGAACCTCTGTTGACGGAATCCTGGTTTTGGCGTTGCCAATGGTTTCTTATTTTATAGTAACCACTGTTTTTTTTGTTTTCTGTTGACGTGCAAAACACATTTTTCATCACCTTTAACTATACAAACATTAAAAGATGATATTCCTAGTTAAAATACTGCTGCAAATTGTGGAAGGCTGAGTTCGATTCTCAAGCTCATGAGGAATCGAAATGAGGTTTTTGTATGTGATCCCAATTAAACTCTAAAAAACATTATAAACAACAAATTGTCGGATAGAAGGGGTATTAAATGATTCTAGAAGCACTTTCCGTTTAAACATGATTCAGCCTTAATCGGTCTGTTCATGATTCATAGAAGGGAAAGGCGTAACGTTAATTTTAAAGAACGAATATAGAAAAGAATAAAGTCAAATAAAATTATCGAAAACAATCTCTCAGTTGCGTCTCTGTCCTTGGACAAAGTGCGCTCAGGGGCTTCTCTGTCTAAGGACGGAGGGGCAACTGGCAAATTATACTGAAGAGGTGCCCAGCTCAGGGGAACAACTACCCGAGGCCGCGCCCACCCATTGCACAAGAGGGGGGGATCGGTGCTCGCACCGAGGCCAGCGCAACCGACGGTTGCCGGGGCTGAGGGGAATTTTTGTCCCTACCCGGGTGTACGCGCTCGGGTCCACACATTAAACCGACCTTGTGTCACATCTTGTTCTAGTGGGGGAACGAGTAAATACCGCGACGTGCTCCCCCCTCCTTGGAGGGGTGTACGCACATCATTTACCATCTCTCAGTTGCGTCTCTGTCCTTGGACAGAGTGCGCTCAGGGGCTTCTCTGTCTAAGGGGCAACTGAGAAAATACTACTGGAGAGGTGCCCAGCCCTGGGGAACAGCTGCCCGTGTCACATTCTCGTGGGGGAATGAGTAAACACCGCGACGTGCTCCCCCTCTCACCTTGACCTGGCCGACCCTCGTGGAAAATAAACCTCCACATCTCAAGTGTTAATAAAAGCAAAGCATGTCAGATTTATAAAGATTTCCTATTTGTCCCTTATCCTATCATTCTCTTGCATTCCTATCTATATTTGATTTTAATATATATATATATATATATATATAAACGGATGCAAACTATGCCTGGAAGAAAAAATTAAAATAATTAAGTACAAAAATACAAGCCAGTTATTGAACCAGAGAAATGAAATTATACTTAAATGTCATCATAAAAATATGTTTATATAGTCTTAAAAATAGATATTTATTTTGCATCAAACACTGAAAAATATATATTAGGTTTGTAACTATGTAAGTTTATTTATATGTATGTATATATGTATGTATGTATTGTATATGTGTATCTGTCTATTACTTTTATTACTATTTAAATATATTATATATATATATATATATATATATATTACTATTAAATGATGATGATATTAAATGAATAACAACATAGATTGCATTTCTGTGATTTTTATTACTGGTTGCGCAGTTAAAGTTTTATTCATAAAATTTTCCCTACCTTCCTTTACTGCAATATTCTCAAAAAATCTAAAGTAGGATCTGTAATGTAATCGGTACTGAATTAGCTTCTTGACTTCAGACGCTTTCTCACAGACGATGTGGCTTCCTCTGTCTTTTTTCTACAAATATTTTCATGGCTACTGCACTGATGAGCATTTTTCCCTGGTGCCCTGACTATATGGATTTAAGTGTACTACTAGATTGGCAGCTAGGTCCCAACTTTTTACTGTTGAAATAGTTAAATGTAACCACCCTTCTAACAGTTTCTTTCCTCGCACTTCTCCATATTGGAACTCCATTCCTCTCACTTGCTTCCCTGATAACTACAATCATCAAAAGCCTAAATGCAACCTCAGTCACCATATTTTGTTGCGTTGATACCTGTTCATTTTTCTTCAATCCCCCCTACACCCACTCTTTTCTCTCATTTTCACTCTCCATAACCCCCTGTGTGATAATGGCACTTCTGACTTGCTTTAGGTGAAATGCTTAAAAAAAAACAAACCCCAAAACATTGAATATAAAACAATTAGGGTACTGACAAAAGCATCTAATAAGATAATTAGGGTACTGAAAATAGCATCTACCACAATCAAAGGTAAAGCTCTCCCTACCAACAGCTAAAATAATAAAAAAGTGCTCAATATATATATATATATATATATAAAAGGCAGGATGTGTGTATGTCTGTGTGTGTGTGTGTGTGTGTGTGTGTGTGTGTAACGAATGGACGGCCGCAATTTTCGACGGATTTGCACCAAAATTTACATGCACATGCCCCAAGTTAGTGGGAAGGCCAAGACTGACTTTGCATTTTCCAACTCCCATCGATAGTGGAAATAATCGATTTTTTCATGCTTCTACGGCAGTTTTTATGTAGTTTGCGGCCATTTTCTACTGGCCAGAGTGAGAGCCTATAGCTGCTGCCACGAATAGGCAGAAAGATTCTATTGGCCAGCATGAGAGCCAACAGCTGACTGACACGAATAGTAACTAGCATGCTAGCATGCAAAAAAAATCGATAGCTGCATTCGTCACAAGTGGGAAAAATTTAAAAATGCATGGCACTTTACTCCAATTTGCTCATTCGCTTGCTTAAACTCAACGTTGATTCTGATTCCGCAGAACTGGGTTGGATGTGAAAAAGTATTTGATGTTAACATTCTTTTTTCATTGGGTTTTTCCAGTTACGACTCCTTTTTTTAAAGCTGATCGATTTGTGTTCATTTTGTTTAGTTCTTTTTTCGTAACAGATTTAATGTTTAGTATAGAGCTTAGAAAAAATTCGCGTGAGATAGGCAAGAAGTAAGGCATTTAGCAACATCAGCATGGCAAAGGGCACTCCTTTAAAGGCAAGGAAAGGGCAAAGATATTTTAAGTCAAGCGATAACGATTGCAGTATGAGTCGTACGATTTTTGAATCAAGCACGTGCAACGCCGGCCATGCTGCTAGTCGGTATTAAATGTTGATTTTTATGTAAGATCTTTATACGGTTAGCACAAATGAAATGTTAATAATAATTATAATACGAAATAAAACCGTTCAGTATGTTCTTAAGCAGATCCCATACGAAGGTACAGCAGTATGTCACCAAACCAGTCTATTTTATTTTTTGTGATATCCTATACCAACTCACAAGACATAAAGACTGAAGCGTGAAATAATTATATTAGCGAATGCTCTGTAAGACAAATTGTTGACGATCGAGCTTTGAAAGAAAAATATTGTAACGAACGTCGCTCCTGTTCGTGTAGTGCGTTTCAAGAGGGCCTTTTCTAAAATTTTCTCCGTGTTTATTAGTCAGTCTTCAGTAAGTGTGAGAAAACAAAAATAGATACACCCCAAGTCAAATCTTAAGACCAGATACAAAAGGGTTTAAAAAAATATAAAATACTGTTACTTTAATCAAAATATATTTGCGAAACATTTACATTAAATTAAAAAATGTATTTTATCAACAAACAAGTGACAGATTTAAGCTTTTTAATTAAAACAAACACTGAAAAAAGGATTTTTTGGTTGGTCATAAAGATAAGACCATGTGTAAAAAAAAAAAACAACAAATTACTGGACAAAAATTTTAGAACAAGTCAGTGTGCTCATAGCTTCAGGCGTGTAGACTTCTACGTAGCTCATTTTCAATATTAAATTTTAGATTTTAAAATGGCTAAGGGTAAAATTTTGACAAAGTTCGAACAGGGTAGGATTGCTGAACTTCAAAGATGTTGTCTTTCTCAACGATCCATTGCAAATGAAATTGGCCGTAGCAGAACTGTCATTGCTAGCTTCATTAAAAATCCGGAGGCGTATGCTTCTGAACAATCAACCTGTCGCCCCAATAAAATCTCACCATCTCTAGACAGATGCATTAGGTGAGAAGTTAAGAGAGATTCAAGCCTAACATCAAATCAAATAAAAGCGAATACAGATGCTGAATGCAGCTCTCGAACAATTCGACGGCATTTAAATAAGAAAGGGTTTAAGAACTTGAAACGCCTGCTGAGGTCTTGCATTCTTCTTTGCCATAAAATCTCCCGTTTACAATTTGCTTCCGATTATTAAACTTGGGATGTGGATAAATGGAAGAAAGTGTTGTTTTCGGACGAGAAAAATTCAATCTTGATGGCCCAGACGGTTTTCAGCGTTACTGGCATGCAAAAGATGTGCCAAAAGAAATTTTCTCAATACGAAACAGTGGAGGTGAATCAATTATGGTCTGGGGTTCATTTTCGTACAATGGAACTCTTGAGTTACAGGAGGTAAAAGGTCGTCAAACATCTGCTAGTTACATTGACATGTTAAGAAAGGCATTGCTAATTACTGAAGGCCTTCACCTATGTGAAGAAAACTGGATTTTCCAACAGGACAATGCTGCAATCCACAACGCCCTCCAGATCGAAACCCAATCGAGAATGTTTGGGGATGGATGGCAAAGGATCTTTATAAACATGGATCGCAATTTGAAACTATGGATGCTCTTCGTGCTGCAGTTTATGCATCCTGGGCGAGCATCCCAAGCACCCTCATGCAAAAGTTAATAATGAGTTTGCCAAAGCGAATTTTTGAATTAATTCGCAAAAATGGAGGATATACGGAAAATTAAATTATCTCTTTGACTTATTTGTTCTGTATTTGCTATTTTTATCTTTATGACCAACCAAAAAATCCTTTTTTCAGTGTTTGTTTAAATTAATCAAATAAAAGCTTAAAATGTTCACTTGTTTGTTGATAAACTACATTTTCTAATTAAATGTAAATGATTCGCAGATATATTTTGATTAAAGTAACAGTATTTTATATTTTTTGATCCTTTTGTATCTGCCGTCTTGGGTATGACGATAAACTACATCCGCATCCAGGGTAAGACGATAAACTACGTCCGCGTCCAGGGTAAGACGATAAACTACGTCCAACAGCAAGGCCTCTGATCAAAAGGTTTTGGGGAGCATGGAACCACCTCTTAATTGCTGGTGTTCCCAGGTCTACCTTGACCCGGGGTGGTAGCACCTGTTAGGATTCCAGCAAATAGTTAACACTCATACTTGTGTAAAAATAGGTTTTTATACTAGAAATATTTTGTAATAAAAAAATGGTTCAAATATATATGTATACGTACACACCTTTTTTTTTTACTAAACTATCGCTATGAATCTATTTCAAAATTTTGTTGTCATCAAATGACCCACTGATGTTGATATGCCATAAAACAAAACAACTAAACAACCTTTTGTACCTGACCATAAGATTGTGACCTGGGGTGTATCTCAAGAAAACGTCACTTTCAAAAAAAATGGTCAAATGGAATGATGGGAAATTTGTACCTTTGTAGTTATAAGCATTGTCCTCTTACTATATCTGCCAGACCCTTTTCTGTTTATTATTTCCAACAGCTTGCTGTTTCCATTTGTCCACCCGCCTTACATTCAAAACAAAACACTATGAATGTATAAAAAATATATTTTTTATAGTAAAATTACCAACAATTCATTTTATCTGTAGTTGAAGACATACAGTTGTGTTCAATTTGTAATTGATCTAACGAGACAAGCTTGCTAACCAATTCGAAGGGCCCTCGGTGATCATATAGTTAGAGCAAGCAGGTATTTTCATACTAAGTGCTGTGAAGCCAGATGTAACTATTTCAAGTACTATGATAATATTTTTTAATAAGACAATCAAATATACAAGTTAATAACCAACAAGAAGCCATTAATTTTATATGGTTTAATTTTATGAGAGATGACAGGAACGAGAAGGGAAGGATAACGTTTCAGTGTCAGTTATCGCCGTTCGAGAATCTGTAAAAAAGAACAGGCCATTTATTTCTTTACTTCGTCTTTTGATGAAAGCGATCCGAACTTGTGGCATGATTAGTTGCTTTTATCCAGTAAAGTTAAAAAAATAACGGTTGATGTTCGAGAATAAATTTAAGGCAAATGATCGCGTCTGTTTATACAAAATCGAAATTATTTGCTAAGATTTGTATATTGAATTTTATTGATGATCGGATCTCAACTTTCTTTCTTAGTCTGGTCACATCTATCTATCTATCTATCTATCTATCTATCTATCTCAGTCTGTTCGTATCTATCTATCTATCTATCTATCTATCTATCTATCTATCTATGTTTAGAACCATGTGTGCGCGTGCGTGTGAATCCGTCATATATAGACATGAACAGAGTGTGAGAGAATGGGGGAAACTAGAAGTTGGTCTTATTTTCCTGAGTTTTTTTCGGGTCCGTCTATTAAATTTTCCATTTTCATTCCCAAGTCGTCAGATGAAGTTTTTTTTTTGTCTGTTTCTTTATATTTTTTTTCTAGAGACCGTAGCCTTCAACCGGTGTCCCTCTCACCCACGATGTCGCCTTAATTCAACCCCAGCCACACTCGTTCTACCCAGCCACGCTCGTTCCATCCCACCTGCTTCCTCAGCGTTATTTTTTCTTTCTCTCCGACATTTTTTTTTCTTCTCGCTCCGCCTCCAGCGTTCTTTGAATCAAGAAACGCGCACGTTCCATCTTCAAAGCTCGACACTCACTTCTTTTCATCTATGATTATTTAACTCTTAATCTAACTTCACTAATGGACAATCCCAATTGGTAGAGGAGCGGCCTGAAGTAAAATACTGCTAATGTCTTATTGCAAACGTTATCATGTGGACAAGATTAATATTGGTGTAGAGTCGAGTATCACTTGCTTAATCTGGCTTAGTTTGGCACAGAGCCATATGTAGAGAGAAGATTATATTACGCCAGTTTTATATTTTCTTTATTAATTTAACTGAGCGTAAACATCACAGCATCAGATACCCAGATGGTAGACGCAGAATTAAAACTTCAAGAGCTTCTACAAAAGGTAGTAAAGGAAAACGAGAAAAAAGATAGAATTATTGGTCGTCAGCAAAGGAAAAAAAAACCAATGTGCGAATTTTTCTCCTTTTTTTTAATCATTTCATCCGAAGCAAGGCAATAAAACCGCTAAGACGCATATGGTTACCGAATGTTAGAGAATATGAGGGGGGAAATACAAGTAAGGAGAAAGAACAATGAAAGAACAAGAATTAAGAAGACAGAAGATAACGATTGACATTGCAGTTAAATTTTTCAATTTTGACTGAGAAGCAATACACAAGAATTTCACAAGAGAGATGAAACTGTTAGAATAGAACCTACGGTTGCATCAACTGCCAAATGAAGAAACATTGTCGCCAATCTAGAAATCTTAAATTCATAAAGTTTAGGTACCATAGAGCAAAGTTCATCAGAAAAAATTATCATGGAATTATTTATAGAAAAGGCAGAGAGTCTTGGAAAGTTTTTAAAAGAGGAAGGAAAACCTGACACTGAAATCCGTACTGGAATAGCGAAGGGGTGCCTGAATGCGGAAAATTTCGTTAAATCCTCTCTGGACGATGTTTTTATTTTATTTTATTTTTCAGTTGTTGTTTTTCAGACTTCATTTGTATTTCAAATTTAATTTTTTAAATTAATGTATTTTTTTATTAATTTTGTTATTGTTTTATTTTAAGTTTATTTTATAGCATTATATATAGCTCTGTATATAATTTATACAATGAGCGCTCTACATGGAGTTAACTTTTTAATATTTTTATATTAAAAACAGTTCCTAATAATTAACCCATATGTGTCAGAGGCCTTTTCAAAAGGGATTTGTGCATAAGTAAATATAAGAAACCCGACTGGAATTAGAACTCAGCTTTCCAATTCCGAACCTTTATTCATTACACCAGCTGCACATCCAATAATCCCTACCACCAACGGATTTTTTTATATATATATATATATATATATATATATATATATATAATGTGAAATGTGCGTATTTATAACTGTATTTACTTCTACAGGCTGCTTCTGAATTCAGAGTTTTCCTTCTCATAGGATAGTTGTCAGCTCTAGCCAAGAGAGCCCACGGATCTATGGTATTAACCCTTTGAGCCCTGCGTTCCTGAACAATTTTAACCCTTATGTCTGAGCTCCTGAGTCAAAATTCGCAAAAAATTGGTATGTAATGTTTCACGGTAGATATAAAAAAATAGTTACAAGTTTTTACCCACCTTTCAACCGGAGGCTGGGTATTAAGTCATTTTTCTCTACCACCGTTCAACCGGAGGCTGGGTATTAAGTCATTTTTCTTTACCACCGTTCAACCGGTGGCTGGGTATTAAGTCATTTTTCTCTACCACCGGTAAAGTAGTAATCTGAGCTGAAAGGTTTATATTATAGCATTACGGATAACTAACTTTTGAGTTGCTCTGTATTTCTGTTTCTACACCGGTTGACATTAGGCATCTCGACTTCATGTCACATTCTCACCGACGTCACGTGGTTACCCTTTGTCTTTTATACAAATATTTTCATGGCAACAGTTCCGATGAGCTTTTTACACTGGTGCTCGGACTACATGACTTCAAGCGCGCTACTAGATTGGCAACTAGGTCTCACCGTTGTCCTCATCTTCATTGCCATATTCACAACGTTGTACGCTGCGGTCTTCTTCAGGCGACTGGAATTTCGAACCGAACCTTTTATTTCGTCTACCGGGGCAGACTGTTCTAGTTTCACGTGTCATGCTTCTTCAGGAAGTCTCAGTTATTTCCCTTTAAATCAACTCTCCAAGTTTTTGGTTCACCACTGGTGTGACCTGGTATTGAACTCACAACTCTTTGGGTATAGTCACTGGATCTAACCAACGTCTTTATCCATTGAGCCATGTGTCCGTGTCCGTCAGCTGTTGGCTCTCACGCTGACCAATAGAATCTTCCTGCCTATTCGTTGCAGCCAGCTATTGGCTCTCACTCTGACCAGTAGAAAATGGCCGCAAACTACATGAAAACTGCCGTAGAAGCATGAAAAAATCGATTATTTCCAGTATCGATGGGAGTTGGGAAATGCAAAGTCAGTCTTCGCCTCCCCGCTAACGTGGAGCATGTGCATGTAAATTTTGGTGCAAATCCGTCGAAAATTGCGGCCGTATATTCGTTACACACACACACACACATCCTACCTTTTATAGATATAGATTGAAGATTTCGAGGAGTGTGGAACCACGTCTTAATTGCTGTTTTTCTCAAGTTCACCCTGATATGGTGTGGTAGCACCTGTTAGGGTTCCAGCTATGGGCAAAACGTGAACTGCCAAACAATAATACCAATTAGATAATTTCGATAAATATTATCAACAATAGCTATTTATAGTAAAATTACCAGCGTTGGATTTTATCTGTAGTTGAAGGCATGCAGTTGTATTCAAAATATTTAGATTTCGGCATTAAATAATTCATAGAGGTTGATATGCTACTGAAGATATTCAACCAAATGACCAACATGACGTTAATTCATATAATATCCGATAATTTCTTAAAAAAATCAAACAGTATTCCAAATATAACTACAATATAAAACACATATATCACTTCTCTCGTGGTTATGTTCAAACAAACATCTATATGCACAAAAGCTGAGTATCATTTGCCATGTATTCAATTGTGAAAGCAGAATAACATATAACATTTTTATTACTTCAAAATTATTATTTCGACATTAAATAGCCCATAAGAAGTTGAGATGGCATTAAACAAACTTCAAATAAACTTCTTTTATGTGCCGTGTCCATTCAGGACGTAGGCGATCATGGCTCTCCACTTCCTCCTATCCCTTCTGGTTCTCAATATGTTTTGTCCTTTTGCTACTTTCCCCAAACCCTGTTCTGTCATCCACTTTCTCAAGGCCGCTAGGTATGTCACACGTTGCTTTCCCTTGTCTCTATTTCCCTGTATCCGTCCTGTGAGTATCAGATTCTCCCAGCCCTCCTTGCTCATTACGTGTCCCAGAAATTTCTGCTGCCTCTTCCTGATGTTAAGTATAAGCTTCCTCCTTGTTTGCATCCTCTCTAAGACGTCATCGTTGCTCACATACTCGGTCTATGATATCCTCAGCATCCTTCTGTAGAACCACATCTCCGTTGTCTCGAGTCTCTTCTTCATCTTTAAGGAGACCGTCCAACATTCGCTGCCGTAAAGGAGGAAAGATGTCACGTAGCAGCTCAGTATTCTTTTCTTTTTTACCAAAGAAATCCTCCTGTCTCGCAATATTCTGTTCAGCTTTTGGAATGCGTCCTTGGCCATCCCAATACGTCTTCGGATCTCATCGTCGCCCTTACTGTCCTCTGTCAAAACACTTCCCAGATATTTAAGTTTCCGCACCTGCTTGATTTTAGTGTCCCCGACCTGTAAATCTCATTTTGGGTTCATCCTTTTACTGATGACCATGCATTCTGTCTTCTTGTAGTTTGTGCTTAGTCCCTTCTTCTCGCTCTCCTTCACTATCTTCTGTAGGAGATTTTATTTTCCGTGTTTACTGTCAACACTGTGTCATCTGCGTATCTTATGTTGTTAAGATTGTGGCCGCCAATGATAAATCGTGGTAGGATTTCCAGTTCTCTCAGAATTGCCTCGCTGTAAAGGTTGAATACTTCCGGTGAGAAGACGAACCCTTGCTTTATGCTCCTTTCTATTTTGTATATCCCCTGAACTCATTCTCTATCGACATGCTGGACGTTTGCTGCCTGTATAGGTTCTTGGTTATTCCAATATCTTTCCGAAATATATCAAGGTTGTCGAGCAGTTCCAACAGATCTGTGGCGGCACTAAGCAGGTTGACTGTTAACCCCGAAAACGGAAAAATAATATAAGATAATGCGATCGAAGCAAGGACAACAAAAACGAGGATGTAAAAGTTTAAGCCAAATTTTATTAAATAAATCTGGCACGAATATATACAGATAATCGTTTGTAGTAGTTCGGTCGTGTAGTCTTGAAGGAGCGTTGTCAGGTTTCAAGGCGACAGCTTGGAAGTAGGCCGAATGGAACAGCAATGTTCGAGGTCCAGTCGATCCCTGGATGTCTGTACTTGAGTAAAGGGCGCGTCGGCGCTTGCAGAGAGAGAGGATCGACGCGGACAGTGCTGTGGTGTAGTCAGTTTGTCCTTGGGTAGACTGTCGTGCAGGATCGCAGCTTGGTAGTCCTAATAAAAGGACGCGGCTAGGTTAGTCCTGAAAAGGACTATTGCATATTATGTAATCGAGGGCAGACTATTGCATATTATGTAATCGAGGGCAGACTATTGCATATCATGTAACCGAGGATAGGCTAGTGCATATCATGTAACCGAGTGTAGGCTAGTGCATATCATGTAACCGAGTGTAGGCTAGTGCATATCATGTAGCCGAGGATAGACTAATGCATATCATGTAACCGAGGATAGGCTAGTGCATATCATGTAACCGAGGATAGACTGCTGCTGATGTCTGCGTCGCTGCTGCTGACGATGAAGCTGGACTGCTCTGGTGGTTCTAGCTGCTGCTGATGTCTGCTGGCCTTGGCTGCTGCTGATGAGGAGGCCGGACTGCTCTGTTTGGCTCAAGCTGCTGCTGCTGGCCTTTTTGCTGCTGATGAGGAGGCCGGACTTTTGCTGGCTCTAGCTGCTGCTGCTGGCCTTGGCTGCTGCTGATGAGGAGGCCGGACTGCTCTGCTGGCTCTAGCTGCTGCTGCTGGCCTTGGCTGCTGCTGATGAGGAGGCCGGACTGCTCTGCTGGCTCTAGCTGCTGCTGCTGACGTCTGCTGGCCTTGGCTGCTGCTGCTTCGTGTGGTCAGCGTAGGTGAGAGGGGGGAACTCGTCACTCAAACCGAGGCCAAAATTCAGCCGAGAGGAATGGTATTTACTTGATTCCCACAAAATCAAGATGTGACACAAGGTCGATTAACGTGGGAGACCCGAGTGTTTCCACTCATAGGCCACTGGTCAAAATTGGTCATAGCTTGTCCAAGCTGGTCAGAGCCTAGTCAAAGCTGGTCATGACTTGTTCTAACAGGTCCAGGCCGGAGCCAGTCCAAGCTAGTCAAAGCCTTGATCGAATCTCAGCCTTCGGCCAAGAAACGATCCATTATTTGTCAAAACCCCCAGCCGAAAAATTCAGCCGAGAGGAATGGTATTTACTTGATTCCCACAAAATCAAGATGTGACACAAGGTCGATTAACGTGGGAGACCCGAGTGTTTCCACTCAAAATGCCACTGGTCAAAATTGGTCATTGCTTGTCCAAGCTGGTCAGAGACTAGTCAAAGCTGGTCATGACTAGTCCTAACAGGTCCAGGCCGGAGCCAGTCCAAGCTAGTTAAAGCCTTGATCGAATCTCAGCCTTCGGCCAAGAAACGATCCATTATTTGTCAAAACCCCCAGCCGAAAAATTCAGCCGAGAGGAATGGTATTTACTTGATTCCCACAAAATCAAGATGTGACACAAGGTCGATTAACGTGGGAGACCCGAGTGTTTCCACTCATAGGCCACTGGTCAAAATTGGTCATAGCTTGTCCAAGCTGGTCAGAGCCTAGTCAAAGCTGGTCATGACTTGTCCTAACAGGTCCAGGCCGGAGCCAGTCCAAGCTAGTTAAAGCCTTGATCGAATCTCAGTCCTCGGCCAAGAAACGATCCATTACTTGTCAAAACCGCCAGCCGAAAAATTCAGCCGAGAGGAATGGTATTTACCCAGTGATTCCCACAAAATCAAGATGGTGACACAAGGTCGATTAACGTCCAGGGGAGACCCGAGTGTTTCCAGTCCTCATAGGCCACTGGTCAAAATTGGGAATGAAATTTACTTGTCCAAGCTGGTCAGAGCCTAGTCAAAGCTGGTCATGACTTGTCCTAACACGTCCAGGCCGGAGCCAGTCCAAAGCCTAGTTAAAGCCTTGATCGAATCTCAGTCCTCGGCCAAGAAACGATCCATTACTTGTCAAAACCCACAGCCGAAAAATTCAGCCGAGAGGAATGAAATTTACTTGATTCCCACAAAATCAAGATATGACACAAGGTCGATTAACGTGGGGAGACCCGTGTGTTTCCACTCATAGGCCACTGGTCAAAATTGGTCATAGCTTGTCCAAGCTGGTCAGAGCCTAGTCAAAGCTGTTCATGACTTGTCCTAACAGGTCCAGGCCGGAGCCAGTCCAAGCTAGTTAAAGCCTTGATCGAATCTCAGTCCTCGGCCAAGAAACGATCCATTACTTGTCAAAACCCCCAGCCGAAAAATTCAGCCGAGAGGAATGGTATTTACTTGATTCCCACAAAATCAAGATGTGACACAAGGTCGATTAACGGAGACCCTGATGACTTGTCCTAACAGGTCCAGGCCGGAGCCAGTCCACCATTACTTGTCAAAACCGCCAGCCGCTGGTCAAAATCAAGATTGGTCGATTAGCTTGTCCAAGCTGGTCCAAGCTGGAGCCTAGTCAAAGCCGGTCATGACTTGTCCTAACAGGTCCAGGCCGGAGCCAGTCCAAGCTAGTCAAAGCCTTGATCGAATCTCAGTCCTCGGCCAAGAAACGATCCATTATTTGTCAAAACCACCAGCCGAAAAATTCAGCCGAGAGGAATGGTATTTACTTGATTCCCACAAAATCAAGATATGACACAAGGTCGATTAACGTGGGAGACCCGAGTGTTTCCACTCATAGGCCACTGGTCAAAATTGGTCATAGCTTGTCCAATCTGGTCAAAGCCTAGTCAAAGCTGGTCATGACTTGTCCTAACAGGTCCAGGCCGGAGCCAGTCCCAGCTAGTTAAAGACTTGATCGAATCTCAGCCTTCGGCCAAGAAACGACCCATTACTTGTCAAAACCCCCAGCAGAAAAATTCAGCCGAGAGGAATGGTATTTACTTGATTCCCACAAAATCAAGATATGACACAAGGTCGATTAACGTGGGAGACCCGAGTGTTTCCACTCATAGGCCACTGGTCAAAATTGGTCATAGCTTGTCCAAGCTGGTCAGAGCCTAGTCTAAGCTTGTCATGACTTGTCCTAACAGGTCCAGGCCGGAGCCAGTCCAAGCTAGTTAAAACCTTGATCGAATCTCAGTCCTCGGCCAAGAAACGATCCATTACTTGTCAAAACCGCCAGCCGAAAAATTCAGCCGAGAGGAATGATTCCCACAAAATTTGACACAAGGTCTTGATTCATAGGCCACAAAATCAAGATATGACACAAGGTCGATTAACGTGGGAGACCAGTGAGTGTTTCCCATCGAATCTAGGCCACTGGTCAAAATTGGTCATCAAGCTTGTCCAAGCTGGTCAGAGCCTAGGCCAAAGCCGGTCATGACTTGTCCTAACTAGGTCCAGGCTTGGAGCCAGTCCAAGCTAGTTAAAACCTTGATCGAATCTCAGTCCTCGGCCAAGAAACGATCCATTACTTGTCAAAACCGCCAGCCGAAAAATTCAGCCGAGAGGAATGGTATTTACTTGATTCCCACAAAATCAAGATATGACACAAGGTCGATTAACGTGGGAGACCCGAGTGTTTCCACTCATAGGCCACTGGTCAATAGGCCACTGGTCAAATTGGTCATAGAGCCAGTTGTCCAAGCTGGTCAGAGCCTTAGTCAAAGCCGGTCATGACTTGTCCACTTGTCCAAGGTTAACAGGTCCAGATCGAATCTCAGTCCTCGGCCAAGAAAGCCAGTCCAATAATTCAGCTGAGAGGAATGGTTACTTGAAAAAGCCTTGATCGAATCACAGTCTGGTCAGAAGAGCTGGTCGGCCAAGAAACTAGTTCCCTTGATCGAATTGTCCTCGGCCAAGAAAATCCCCCCAGCCGAAAAGCCGAAAAATTCAGATATGAGAGAAATAATTTGGTGGGAAAATCCGCTGGTCCAGAGCTCAGTGTGTATATATAGGCTGAGGTCGGCAACGTAGCCTGTCAGCGATATATTTGGGTGATGACTGAAAATTACCTTCTGACTTTTTTATTGCACACATGGGTTCCATTCGACACCATGTGTATATAAATATAGTTTCTGGTAATTGTTTTTGGTTAGGAAAGTTAGTATATGTAAATGTTTCGTTTTTTTCTTATTTTGTGTGAGACGTTGACGGAAGTTAACGGCATTCGTTATGTTTTCCGCGGTGACGCTTTTAGATGTTTGAGTAGCCGGCAGTAACTTCCGGCCGGGTGCGATAGATCCTTGTGGCGTACTTTGTCGAACACCAATGCGTAGTCTATAAAACATAGGTACACGTCCTTCTGCATTTGTATGCTCTTTCTGATAACATTATGAGCATGAATATCACGTTCCTTGTTCCGGTGTCTTTAACGAACCCGTACTGTTCTTGTCTTATCTCTGGTTTAATTCTGCTGCGCGCTCTGTTCATCAGAATACGGATGATGAGTTTTGTTATGTGGCTCATTAGACTAATTTTTCGGTGGAGTTCACATTCGTTTGCGCCTGATTTCTTAGGCAGTGCTATGAAAATAGATCTGCTGAGATCTTCCGGTATATCCCCACTGCTGTATATTTCATTTATTATATCTGTAATCTTGTCTATGCCAAAATCATCTAAGTCGGTCATCATTTCTGTTACAATTCCGTTTGGACCTGCTGTCTTGTTTCGGTTCAATTTCGCCAGTGCAGCTTCTACTTCGGTTCTTTACTCAGTCATAATTGATCTCGCAAGACAAGCTTGTTAACCATTACACCACGTCGAAGTACCCCAGACAATGACGTTTATAATAAGTAAAAATAATGTCGGATTTGCTATGTGGATGTTGAAGAGACACAAATGAGCTTTAGCAGACAACCACGTTCGAAAGAGAGCAGCCATTCTGAATACTGAGAACACTGACTTGAAGTGTGCCTCCAAGCTACAAAAATCAATTTAAAGAATCTATGTATATATATGTACGTTTGCATATATGTGTGTTTGGTTTATATGTACAAATTAAACTCTTCAGTTTTCTGAGTTGATATGAGACTGAAATACACTTTAGCAATTTAATAATATCTTAGCAGCAGAATTATTTGGAAAAAACAACATTTTTTTTATGCAAAGTTCTAACTCCGGTTTTTTTGTGTCGTCAAATCCCATAGATGATAATGAACTATTTGTAGAGATATAGATGCGATTAATGCATCTGGAAAAATTAGGGTGATAATCCTCAAAACCTTTTCATTCTGAGCAATATCGCAATCATATTAATCGTTTTAAAGGAAATGACACTGTTAGGTTTTTCTCTTCCTTATTTAAATAATTTTCGTCGGAATGGCAATTTCCCACGGTTTTCGTTCCATATGAATCGATGAACAGGCTGAATTTCTGTCTCAACAGGGAGAGCGTATACAAAAGTTTGGGAAGAAAGAACCTGAGAAAGCAAGAGTGGAGAGAGAAAGAGATACATAGAGACACAGAGAGGAGAGTGTGTGTGTTTGAGAGAGAGGGTGGGTATGAGCGATTGAGAGAGAGAGAGAGAGAGAGAGAGAGAGAGAGACTGGTCAGAGATGAAAAAGGATTAAATTAAAATCCTTACGTAGTTGTTGCGATTCGTTGCAACCAAATCATTCATGCGACAGAGAGAAGAAATAGAGAGAGAGAGAGTGTGTGTGAGAGAGAGTGAATAAGAGATAGAGAGAGTGAGAGAGAATGAGAGAGAGAGTGCGTGTGTGTGTAAGAGAGAGAGTGAATAAGAGAGAGAGTGAGAGAGAGAGAGAGAGGGAGAGAGAGAGTGAGAACGTGCAGAGATCGAAAAAGATCAAATTAAAATCCTTACGTATATTAATAAAAGTTGTGATTCGTTGCAATATATATATATATATATATATATATATATATATATAAAAGAGAGAGAAGAGGGTATGAGAGAGAGAGAGAGAGACAGAGAGACAGAGAATGAGAGAGAGAGTGAGTGATAACGAGCAGAGTTTGCGAACGATTAAATTAAAATCCTTACGTATATTAATGAGAGTGGTTATTCATTACAAGCAAATCATTCATGCAACCAAAGGAATGACAAAAGGAGGTTTTTTCAAAGTATAATTCTTCCTGAGATGTTGTCAAGAAGACTACAAATGTACAAATAAATAAAAAATGAAATATTTTGCTCGAAACTATTTCTCCTCGGCTAAAATCGAGGAATGCACATCTGCCATCAATTTCTCTAGGCGAAAAACATTTATGTCTCTTATTCAAAATGTGAGCAAAGGAAATGCTGGACTAAACAAAGTCTGGCAAAAGGCAACAATTTTAGGGCATATAGTTAAGAACGAAATCACCAGACTAGCATATTAATCTGTGACAGGTGTTTTAGGAAGAGACTTCTTACATATTGAAATTGACAGAAGATATTCCTGTAGCAAAACCAAGTCTGGCACAAAGCCTGATTGCGAGAACATTCAGAATGGAGGGAAGTCCATTTTAACAGTTTCAGAAATTAGTCCCAATAGGGTAATGCCTAATGAGGATCGAAGTAATTTTTAACGGCTTGCGAGACTTACTCGCTACGCACTGACAGCTTTACGCATACATATGCACATACCCCCAAACCACACAGACATACTCATATATCTATATTTATTACTTAAGCATTATTTTTAGTGAATACTCGTATTTGAGTAGACCCTATTTTTTTTATCGCCTACCGGCCTGAATATTTGTGAAATCTTATTAAAGGAAAATATGCGCTCTCTGGCAGAACTCGAACCTGAATCCCACTTGGCAGGGAAAACGTCGTTAGATCTGACGTGCTCTAGTCCGACTCCGCCATATATATATATATATATATATATATATATATATATATATATATATATATATATATATATATATATATATATATATAATTATAAAAGGGAAACATTTGAAACCCATGGTAATATTTTTTTATTTTACAAAAAAACGGTACTTCGGTTTCGTCTCATCAGACCAAACAGTTTCAACAATAAATGCCTTTAAAGAATTAAATTGTTTAAATATTTCATTTTGTGTCGGGTAAAATTTTAGTTGAAACTGATTATGTATCCTTAAAATCCCTAAAAAAACGTCTTGATTTCTGTCCTCCTTGTATTCTCTCCCATAATTTCTCGTCAGTTGTAAACTGAGAGATGGATAACAATTGAAGTTGATTGACACACTCCATCGGAACCGCTTAGAAAAGTGGATTAACAATAGTATAAACGGAATCAAATATTTTGTGACGAAACCAAATTTGGTAGAAGGCCAATAAAATAGGCAGAATTGTACTAGTAAATTAATTTTGTAAAGACTCACAAGCTTAATTTTTTAGGCGATTCTCCGAAATCCATTGACAGCTTCCAAATCTTTAGCCTATAGTGCACACACACACACACACACACACACACACACACACATATATATATATATATATATATATATATATATATATATATATATCAAACCCACTCCATCAGAACTGCTTAGAAAAATGGATTAAGAGTTGGAGCAATAGAGTAACGGAATCAGATATTTTGGGTCGAAGGCAAGTTTGGTAGAAATGGCCAGAATAGTAGGCGTAAAATAATTTTGAAAAGACACGCGGTCTTAATTTTTATGCGACTTTTCAAAACACAGTGACAGACCCCAAACCTTTAGCCTATAGTGCATATATGCATACATATTTAACAAACTCCAAACTTTTGACATATATATATATATATATATATATATATATATATATATATATATATATATATATATGATAGACTCTCCGTTGTCTTTGGCATATGAGAGTTCAGGAGCATCATTCTTGATACACTACATTTGTGTATTCGATGACTTTTCAGTCTAGTTTGTAACCTACACAACATTCTACAAATACGACAAGGAACTGCACTCCCAGAAAGCTGCAGGAATATTAGAATGTTTTTCGTGTTCCGTATGGCAATAGGTCGATGTTTAGTGCTTGACCATTCAAAATTGAATTGCCTTTTATATTCATAATCCTCCAGTTGACTCGATCAGAAGTCACTTCCTCAAAGGAAGATAATGTGATGTCAATAGAGTTTCGCTCAAGTTTAACCTTGTACCTCAACAACTTACTGAGAATGGTCCCATAGGTGAGTGTACCTCAAGATTTTTAGTGTCCTTTCATCCCTCATGCACACATAATGGTCAACCCAACGGAGTTGGGATTGCATTAGAAATGTCTCTATGCCTCTAATTTTGCACCGTGAAAACTGATTAATATTAGTTATTTTGTCTTGCATATTATGTACAATGGTGCTGCTTATGGAAGACATCAAGCAAGAGAATATGGTTTCAACCGGGAGTCCAGGACTCGAAGTGAGATAGGAAAATAATTAAATATGTGTTAGATTCAACCAAGAATGGTCTTTTTGATTTTTTAATTTTATTTTTCAGTTTTTTAATAAAATGTTTTACATTGGGAATTATGAGATAAAAATCAGGGATAAACTGACCGATTTTCATGTCTTATTCTGTTTTTGATTTTTGTTTTTTTCAGTATTTTCGACTATTCTCTCCGGGTGTTGCCAGTGAGCTACATCTTGCTAGTTTTTAGAGCGCTGGAAATCTGATTACTTCAAATGACTCTATATGTAAAAATTAAATGGAATTAGGCTGCACCGGAAAAATATATTTCATATTTATACGTATTATAATAATAATAATAATAATAATAATAATAATAATAATTATTATTATTATTATTATTATTATATATTTTGATACATTATTTTCCATTGCGTCTTGATCCATGTAAGCGTTAAGAATGATGTCACTTCGGACTAATTCACATTTCAATGCTCTAAAAAGCCAGGATGTAGCCAACAAATCTCTTATATAATTTCTGTTAAAATTTGGGTGAAACATTTTGAGTGGAAATAGTTGTCACATTTGTAAATAAAAGCAAAATAAAAGAGAAAGTAAATGAAATGGAAACATTTTATTAATTCAGTTCTTGAAATAATTAATTTTGAGAAACATTTAAATTAATCTATATTTCAGCAATTTTGGCATTTAAAGTAATGTTAGTTGGTGAATTGGTGGAAGCCAATTTTCACGTCAAATTTTCACTTTATTCAAATTCTTAATTTTCCAGTACTTATTCTAATTTGATAACCTTATTTGTCGTTTCAGATTTTTGTGTACGTGTTCCGAAATTTCCATTTATGGTTGATAGTATCTGTTAAAATTCATATGCGCAAAATATGAAATCATGCAAATTTCAATTGTTGCTCATTTTTTAAAAAGACGCCTCAAATTAGTTTGAAAATTACTTCTGTCAGGTAAGAACAGAAAGTTGTCGCTGGACATAGAAGCGTCATCTTTAATAAATTGTTGCAATTAAAAAGTCAGCATTTTGATTATATCATTATTTTCTTTTCGAATTACATGTGCTATCTATTTTAGTTGTTGCTGTTGCTGAAAGTCCTCAAGTGATATGTTATTTTTTATTTGCTATTTGGTACAGTTCTTTGTGATTCTGTAGCGCCAGTCCATGTGATTCGAAGAACGATGCTTGTCGCTCAGACCTACAGGCTTCAAACGCACGTAACAATTTCTAATCTGAGAACGCGTTTGTATACCGCTGATAGTTTAGATATTTCTGAACATGCATGACATCCACATGAAAGTCTCGATATGACTAGGCTATTTCTGAATATGCATGACAAGTATCAGATTACATTTTTGGCTTTGTAATTATTTGTGTTGGGCGAAACTGAATCTAAGACAATCTATTCGTTGTTAAATTTCCTTATCTGCTATACAAATTTTGTTAAATCTGATACATAAACGAAGGTATTTGAAGGGTTTAATATTTGCTAATTCCATATCCCAAATTTTTATGACGGATTCCAGGTAGGTGACCTTACTACTGTACTGATTTGATTCCTATTCCAGATCATAGATTCTGTTTTGGAAAAGTATATCTTAAGTCCTATTTCTTGAAAATTTTGGTAGAGGATGTTGATTTTTCTTTGAAGGTCATTCTTATCCTTACTATGAATAGCTATGTCATTAGCATCCCCCCCCACCATCATCAGTACATTGGCCTCGGGAGGGGAAGCAGAGACGCTGTTTTGTATTTGCACGAAAGTGAATGCAATGAACTCGACTGGCCAATTTCTCATCCTGATCCGTTAACGATTACACAGCCTGCGCTTTGAATTTGTGATATTTATAAATATAATATTTATTAACAGATGTTCCCATTTATCAAAAGTACAAGAGGCAAATATAATTGTTATGGGACAGAGATAGTCATATTTAATAATGTTGCCAATAATAATTTTAAAAAGGATTACTCAAAAATAATAGCGACTTACTAAGCGTAGCTTAGATTTGACACAAGGCCGAAAGTACAGAGCACCCAGTTAGGATCGAATCCACTCGAAATAGATCTAGCGAAAAAACATGTATTTAATATTTATATGCATTGTTATTATTATTATTACACTATTTACATTATGCGGACTATTGTCCTCATCTTTGACGCCATATTTATTACAACGTTTTGGCCGTTGTACGCTCCGGCCTTCTTCAGGTGGTTGGAATGTTGAACGGAACCCTTTATTTCACTCACTTGGGCAGACCGTTCTAGTTCCGCGTGCCATGTTTAATGGATGTCAGTTATCTCCGGTTAATTCTCCTCTGCAAGTTCTCCACTTCCTTAACCGGGTATTGAACTCACACTGTTTGGATCCTGTCACTGGATCTAAACAACGCCTTTATCCACTGTGCCATGTGTCGTCATCATCATCATCATCATTATTATTATTATTATTATTATTATTATTATTATTATATACGTGCTTTTATACATTATTTTCCATCGCGGTCTAGCTCCATGTAACCGTTACAAATGACATCACTTTGGACAATTCGCACTCCAGTGCTCTAAGAAAACATGATATTGCCAACAAAGATTATACACAAGGTCGAAAGTATCGATCACTCAGTTAGGATCGAAATTACACGGAATTGATCTAGCGAGAAAAGTTTGTTAACCATTACATGACGTCAGATTACTCACTGGTTAGTATATAAGGAACGAACCTGTTAGTCTTAGACAAGATAGAAACCGTTGCTACTACTTTTTTTTACTCAGGGTATTCCTGTGAATTTACAGAAATTATTTTGACAAACGTTGATGAAGGCTTTGCCGTTTGACGATATTATCCAAAAACAGTTTAGTTGTAAGAAAAAAATCGAATTGAAATGGAATATTATAACTACTCTGCTGTCCCCTGCTTTTTTTTGTTGTTTAATGTGAGTCTTTTTTTCTTTCTTTTCGTTCTTCAAATGGAGAAAAATAATGATCGCCCAAGTAAGCCATAAATAATCGTCAATGTGTGACGAAAGAAATAATATAATTTGTGTTTTCAGAAGAAAATGAGAAGCAAAGAATATTCAA